TCCTGGATTTCTACCAAACTAGGACAGAAGCTTGTTTATGATCATAAGATAGTATCCAGAAGTAAATTTTGTAAAAAAAAAAATCCATTTTTTCCGTATTTTACTTATAAATGGACTTAGTTTTTCTGCCTGAAAACATTACATTCACTCTGTGGTTAAAGTTTTAAAAATTTTAATAACTTTCTTAAACTATCCTGGATTTGTACCAAACTTGGACAGAAGCTTGTTTATGATCAAAAGTTAGTATCTAGAAGGAAATTTTGTTCCTGTTAATCCGTATTTTACTTATAAATGACTTAGTTTTTCTTCGTTAACATTACATACAGTCTGCAGTTAAAGTTATTTAAAAATATTTATAAGGTTCATAAACTATCCTGGATTTTTACTAAACTTGGACAGAAGCTTCTTACAATCAAAAGATAGTATCGAGAGGAATATTTTTATTTTTTTTTTTCCTCATTTTTGTTGAGCCTGCGATTAACAGCAAAAATAGGCGAGACACTGGGTTCCGCGGAACCCTTACGAATTTTTATTTATAAGTTGTTGTGAAGAACAACAAAAAAAGTGTTTTTTTAAGTTATTGACCCCGGATAGATAAAATGTATGCAAGGCGGTGGTTAACTTTGTTTCTTGTATACTATAAGCAATAGGTCAACAATATTTGATGCATGGAATGATTTTAAGGTGTACTTGTCTGTCTGCAGGGTTCATCTGACCTTGACCTCATTTTTATTAAGTCTCCCAAACGAAGTTTGGGAAGACTTATTGTTTTTGCTCAGTTCTTATTATTATTATTCTTCTTCTTCTTCCTCTTCCGCCGCTTTTAAATTTGAACTTGTCCGCACCCGTTCTCCAAAACCGCTTGTCAGATTAACTTAGGGTTTCACAATATGTTAGACTAACATGTCTAGTGGTGCAATCAGGGTTTTGTTTTTGCAATGGGGTTTATAAAGGGGTACTTTAAGGGGCAAAAAGAAAGGAGGGTTTTACTATAGAACCCTATGGGATTTTATTTTTTAAAATTTTCAAATGATTATTAATTGAAAACCGTTTGTGATAGACACAATCTTTTTAATTAAAAATGTTCTAAATGATAAAGCACATTAAATGAAATACAGGGTTGTCCCCAGGGGTCACCCCCACCCCCTGCAATTTAAGAAAGTTCTAATATCTTGTAAATGGTCGAGATCCCCACCCCTAAACCATATATATTCTGGTTTGTCATGCTAAGATGGTTTGAATGATATACAGGGTTAGTCCCCAGGGGTCATCCCGACCCCCTGCCATTTGAGAAAGTTCTAATATCTTGTAAATGGTCGAGATCCCCACCCCTAAACCATATATATTCTGGTTTGTCATGGTAAAGCACATCAAATAAAATACAGGGTTAGTCCCCAGGGGTCACCCCGACCCCTCCCATTTAAGAAAATTCTAATATCTTGTAAGTGGTCGAGATCCCCACCCCTAAACCATATATATTCAGGTTTTTCATGCTAAGATGGTTTGAATGATGTACAGGGTTAGTCCCCAGGGGTCATCCCGACCCCCTGCCATTTGAGAAAGTTCTAATATCTTGTAAATGGTCGAGATCCCCACCCCTAAACCATGTATATTTTGGTTTGTCATGATAAAGCACATCAAATGAAATACAGGGTTAGTCCCCAGGGGTCACCCCCACCCCCTCCCATTTAAGAAAGTTCTAATATCTTGTAAATGGTCGAGATCCCCACCCCTAAACCATACATATTCTAGTTTGTCATGCTAAGATGGTTTGAATGATATACAGGGTTAGTCCCCAGGGGTCTTCCCTACCCCCTGCCATTTGAGAAAGTTCTAATATCTTGTAAATGGTCGAGATCCCCACCCCTAAACCATATATATTCTGGTTTGTCATGATAAAGCACATCAAATGAAATACAGGGTTAGTCCCAAGAGGTCACCCCACCCCCTGCCATTTAAGAAAGTTCTAATATCTTGTAAGTGGTCAAAATCCCCACCCCTAAACCATATATATTCTGGTTTGTCATGCAAAGATGGTTTGAATGATATACAGGGTTAGTCCCCAAGGGTCACCCCCACCCCCTGCTATTTAAGAAAGTTCTAATATCTTGTAAATGGTCAAGATCCCCACCCCTAAACCATATATACTCTGGTTTGTCATGCCAAGATGGTTTGAATGATATACAGGGTTAGTCCCCAGGGGTCATCTCTACCCCCTGCCATTTGAGAAAGTTCTAATATCTTGTAAATGGTCGAGATCCCCACCCCTAAACCATATATATTCCTGTTCGTCATGTCTCAAACATTTGAATGACGTATAGGGTCAGTCCCCAGGGGTTCCCCCCACCCCCAATGTTCTAGTATCTTGTAAATGGTCGAGATCCCCACCCCTAAACCATATATATTCTGGTTTGTCATGCCAAGATGATTTGAATGATATACAGGGTTAGTCCCCAGGCATCACTAATGCATATAACTTTACTGGACCAAACCAATTTTCACTGGACTTTGTCCAATGTCAGGCGACCCTGGGAATTATGAATTATGGGAGCTTCGTTTGGGAGACTTCGTAACAGCATCCTGTTACAATCATTTCTTGTTGTTCATTGGTCAATATAGAATTTCCATCGTTTGGTCTGTTTCTTTTATACTATAAGCTATAAGTCATCTATATTAGGTGTATGGAATGATTGTATTAAAGGTGTACATGTATTTCCGGCTTGGTTTATCTGACCTTGACCTCATTTTCTTGGATCATAAATTTAAATGTGATACTTGTAGAACTTTATATTTAGGACTATCAACATCAAATCAATGGTCAGTATAGTAGGCAAGACATTTCAGCATGTGCACTCTTGTTTTTCATATTTCCCTGAAACCAAATATCTAAATCTTTTGAAAATAGACATGTCTTCTCTCTCCAGTATTTTTATTACTGATATGCTTTTATAAGGTGATTGATTGATTGATTTGTTGGTTGCTGAACATCCAGGGGCTAATATTTCAAGAACGAGAACAAATGAACAATAAAGACAATAGGTAGGTCCTGTAATAGAGGCAGTCCGGGTAGAAGGACTGGGAAATTTGGACTGCCATTGAAAAATGAAGTAATATTGGATAAGAACAGAAATTTTGCAACAGGCCACCTCAAAAAGAGTTATTGCAGGGGTTCTAAACATGCAGAGAGCGTGGCACTCTCTCTACAAGAGGCATCAAATTTAACGTCCCTATTTTGACAGGACATGGTTGGTTACTTGTACATCCTGAACTGCCAAATGGGTGCCCCACTTTGTCAATGGTTTTACTGCGGGTCAGTAGAAAACCCAAGTCACCATTGGGGGTTTTTATAGGGTTTAAGAGTAACTATTATTAGCATTAGACAAAGATACCAGGTGAGCAATACAGATTATTGGAGCCACTAGATTTATTTTGGTTTGAAAGTAAACAGGATTAAATTGTTTTGAATTTTTCTATAAAGACAGTAAATTAAATATTCCCAGAATGTCAGTTGTTTTGCAATTTTTCATGTAGAAATTTATGTAATGGTATAAAATGTTGTTTTTTATTCATCTTGTATTTTTAAACAAATAAACTCTTGGCATTTAGAGCATGTATGATTTCAGCTTAATTCTAGAAGTTTCTAGATTGAAAAGTCTCTCCTCTAGTCATAAGATTATCAATGATGACCTTGCGGAGTACTATAGCATCAATAATATTCACTTTTGACTTGACACTCTCATGCAAAGTTTCTCCAGAAATTAGGTTTAAATATAAACATTGAATTGAGTAGGTTTTTGTCTCATCTTGACGGAGTCAAAAAGCGAGACATAGGTATACTGTTTCCAGTGTCGTCGTCGGCAGCGGCAGCATCAATAATGTATTAGTTTGTGATTAGGTCTAGTTTATGGTGAACCACTGGTGATAGGTCAGTGATATTTGGTATGCAGTTGTATAAGCATTGGCACATCACATTTCCATAGAGACTATTTGGCCCCGCCCCCTCAGTCATGGTTCATTGACTTTGAATATTTTTCATAACTTACATGTTAAAGTACTGGTATTGCTATTTTAATTTCAACACTTTCATTTTATTATCAAAATAACAAAAAGGCGAGACATATCTCTGTGCTAACTGTTTATTATTTAAAAGAATTGGTATATAAATTTTATAGAAAAGAATTGGTACGTAAATGGCTATTGATAGTTGAGATGTATTTAAAAAAAAATTCTGAATACATATTGAATTCATGTAGTTTTTATAATTTTATATAAAAAAAGGACCTGTTTTTATTATTCATCCAAGTAATGGTCAAATGTGCCCTTAATGAACAGGAAGGTACCCTTTGTGCAAAATTCTTGATATATGTTTCATTTATGAAAGGTATATTTTTACAATGCCCTTTAAAGGCAAAGATTTTCTATATAGAAATGCCTTCTAAGGCAATATGACTTTAAAACATTGACACTCTTGTCTAAGATATATCTACTGTTGAATAATCCATTGTCTAGATACCTGAATAGTGAATTTGGGTTTTATTTAATGAAGTATTTTAATTAAAAAAAAAACCTACATTTGTTACTTTTTTTACCTTTTATTTTTCAAAATATTTTAAATTAGTTGATTTTGTTCTATTGTCATAGAATGTAGAGTCCCTGATTAAGTTTGAGTTTCATACCAATTTAATGGTTTGTAGCAGAGTTAACTCCCATGGACTTTCAAAATATAGATTATATATTTCTGCATGTTTAAAAAAATTACTGTTTTAGTATTTAATAATGAGAAGTTAATAGCTTGGTTTGAACTTTTTTTTCGATTCTATAACTCTATTTACCAAAAGTGATGTATTTTAAGTAACTTTCACTAACTTTCTAAGCATGAAAATTGTATGAGAATGGGATCTTCATCATAACTGTGTTTCTAGCACTTGAATTATAATTAATACACATTATAACTTTAAATTAACATTATAACTTTAAACTATAAAAATATTTAATTACAGAGATTGCAAGCTGTTATTGAGGAAACAGAGAAGAAAAACTTGGAAATAAAAGCAGACTTAAAAAAATTAGAGGGAACAAAGAAAGAAAAAGATGCCAAAGTTCTTATGGATACCATCTACAACCAGCTGGATGATCATTTAAAGATGCACCAACAGGTCAGTTTATACTCTATACCAGTAACAATTGACGGCTTCGGTGGCCCAGTGGTCTTAATAGATTATACTCTATACCAGTAACAATTGACGGCTTTGATGGCTGAGTGGTCTTAATAGTTTATACTCTATACCAGTAACAATTGATGGCTTTGGTGGCTGAGTGGTCTTAATAGATTATACTCTATACCAGTAGCAATTGACGGCTTCGGTGGCCGAGTGGTCTTAATAGATTATACTCTATACCAGTAACAATTGATGGTTTTGGTGGCCCAGTGGTCTTAATAGATTATACTCTATACCAGTAACAATTGATGGTTTCGGTGGCCCAGTGGTCTTAATAGATTATACTCTATACCAGTAACAATTGATGGTTTCGGTGGCCCAGTGGTCTTAATAGATTATACTCTATACCAGTAACAATTGATGGTTTCGGTGGCCCAGTGGTCTTAATAGATTATACTCTATACCAGTAACAATTGATGGTTTCGGTGGCCCAGTGGCCTTAATAGATTATACTCTATACCAGTAACAATTGATGGCGTGGTTGGCCGAGTGGTCTTAACAGTTTATACTCTATACCAGTAACAATTGACGGCTTTGGTGGCCGAGTAATCTTAATAGATTATTCTCTATACCAGTAACAATTGATGGCGTCGTTGGCCGAGTGGTCTTAATAGTTTATGTTCAGTCAACACTGATGTTGTGAGTTTGAACCCTGCTTGTGTCAAGGTGTGTTCAACTCCAATCTCAGTTGACTATAATTACCAGTTTTCCTGCCTAAGATTGTGAAACTTAAACCATAAGGATGTGCATGTAAAAATAGTAACATATATTTTGTGTACAATATTTAAAAGGAATGAAATGGGCTTCGGTTTACTGGGGATCGAGGACAGTTCCTTTACTTATTGAATAAGCAAATTTTGAAAATTGCATGCTGTCGAGTTATCTAGATTTTTTCAATTAATGATCCATTATATTTCATTACATACATTTCCAATCAGTCAGTAGATAAACTGATTTAAAGTTTTCAAAATTTTATAGACTGAAAAGGAGATAGATGACTTAAAAGATGAATTGAGGAAAAAACTAGGAAAACCTACACCAAAGAAAACTGGTGAGGACGACAAATCTATGTAAGTATATAACATAGAGATCTATGTAAGTTATAAAACATATCACTTTATAATGTTGTTGGCAAAATCTTCAATATTCAAGTAATCTTTCTACCCTTAAGTGTCCAGAGTATATTTTAAAGTTGTTCATTTAACATAATTTTGAAAAGCTTAAGAAATTTTACTATTTGAACTTTAATCTTAAATTTATTTATTTTTGTGGTTTGAGGGAAAATTGTGGTTCTTTTCATACCTTCTAGTACTGTCTCAACCATTTTAATATGTCAGAGAGAGTGAAATACTCATACTTTTTAAATTTATATACATGTGTACTGGTACATGTTGGGAGACATATTTGTCCTGTTTGTCATTATATATTTAACTACACTTTATGTCATAGACAGGTGGAAGGTGGAAGATTTGTGTTATTTGGGTCAAAGATATGTTAGTTCTATGTATTTACTCATTATTGATTTAAATTTGTTTTTGTTTCACCCATTTTTTTAAACCCTTAGTGACAAACATGACAGAAGAGCATTCAATTTACCTCCCATGTTTAGGTAGGATTGTCTCCCTTGTAATTGTATGGTGGTATTTACTGTTGCTTTATGAAGGGAAACTCATTGCTTGGTGATATGATTTGCCTTTTGTTTTCTGTATTCTTTACTTTAATTGCTGATTTTTTTCTCACTTTTGTTTGTGGCATCATATATACGTATGTACATGCAGCGTGATGATGCTGTATATATTTTTGTGCTGTTATACTTCAGGGTTTTGTGGTACGTTTTTTAAGGGACAGCTTTATTTTAAAACTCTTATTTTTAAATTGTTTAGATAAATCGCATTAAAGAGACAAAAAATTGCTACTTTTACAGTATTCTTTTTTTAGCTCACCTGGCCTTGTCCGTCGTCGTTAGCTTTTTACAAAAATCTTCTCCTCTGAAACCACTGGGCCAAATTTAACCAAACTTGGCCACAATCATCATTAGGGTATCTTGTTTAAAAAATGTGTCCGATGACCCCACCAACCAACCAAGATGGCTGCCATGGCTAAAAATAGAACATAGGGGTAAAATGTAGATTTTGGCTTATATCTCTGAAACCAAAGCATTTAGAGTAAATCTGACAGGGAGAAAACTGATTATCAGGTCAAGATCTATCTGCCCTGAAATTTTCAGACAAATCTGACAACCTGTTGTTGGGTTGCTGCCCCTGAATTGGTAATTTTAAGGAAATTTTGCAGTTTTTGGTTATTATCTTGAATATTATTATAGATAGAGATAAACTGTAAACAGCAATAATGTTCAGCAAAGTAAGATCTACAAATAAGTTGTCATGACCAAAATTGTCAGTCGACCCCTTTAGGAGTTATTGCCCTTAATAGTCAATTTTTAACAATTTTTTGTAAATTTTTGTAATCTTTTACAAAAATCTTCTTCTCTGAAATTACTGAGACAAATTTAACCATACTTGGCCATAATCATTATTAGTGTATCTAGTTTAAAAAATATGTACGATGACCCCGCCTTCCAACCATCATGGCCGACTTGGTTAAAAATAGAACATAGGGGTAAAATGCAGTTTTTGGTTTATATCTCTGAAACTAAAGCATTTAGAGCAAATCTGACAGGTGGCAAAAATGTTCATCAGATTTAGATTTATCTGCCCTGAAATTTTCAGACAAATACGACAACCCGTTGTTGGGTTGCTGCCCCTGAGTTAGTAATTTTACAAAAATTTTGCAGTTTTTTGTTATTATCTTAGATATCATTATAATATCTAATATCTAATACTATTAATTATGATTTTAACCTTATTTTACATGATTTCCAAAGCATCAGTAAATACAGGTGAGCGACACCGGCTCTTGAGAGCCTCTAGTTTAAATAATTTTATTCCTCACTTAACAGTAGAATTATTCTTTTTATAGGACAAAATATATGTAATTGGACAGTATTTCAGGTTTGAATAAAAATATATTTATACAAAAATGATGTATGTTGTATTTAAAATTCTAGAGATACAATAAGTGAAAAAATGTCAAATAAGTGTATAAAGTATATTAGCTAGCAAGAATGAATGTAGACCAGCAAAAACATATTGTTCGATTTCAATTAAAATTTCTTAACAAAAATATGTCCAAAGAATTTAGTTTTAAAATGTGTGTGACATAAAAAATAAAAGAGTTCAATAAAACCAGCAGTGAAAATGGGATAGAGCCATTACCATTACCAAAACAAATGCAGGAAAGCCAATTTTTATCTGCAAAGTATCCAAACGATAGTCTAAAGAATAAATTGTAGTTCAGTGATTTTACTCAAGCCTGTCTACTTAAAAGGATCAGCGACTCTTTTCACAAAAAATCTTACGATTAAAATTGATCGTAAGTTATACTGAAATGTGTATGACTTACGAGTATTTTTACTCTTAAGTTTTTTTGTGAAAAGAGCCGCTGTTGCATAAAAATGGTGTCATAAAATACATTTGAAAAATTATTTTGACTTTCTTTATTATATAAAAAAAATTCAAATGACTTTCATTATTTCATTAAAAGTATAACCATCATGAAAGAAAGAGCTCTTGTCCAAAATGTTCTCAGGTATAGGATGGTGATGTTATGTATTAAATGAGGATGATATGTACAAAAGATTAGAAAAGTTAGGTTAATTGTTTTAATATAATGTATATTGCATATAAAACAATATATTTCAGCAAAATATCTTTGAGTCAATCATTTTATTATGATAAAACCTATTTTCAGACAAAGTAGAAGGCCTATGGCATCACCAGAGGAACAAGTATTAACATATGAACTAAAATCACAGTTACTTAGGAATGTTGAAATGCAAAATCATCGACTGAAAACAGAGCTGACACTCCATGAGAAAATGACAGAAGCCAAACTGTTAAACCAGCAAAACAAACGACTAACAGACGACAACACAATGTCCAAAACAAACACACTCAGACTTATGAAAATGTTTGAAAAAAAAGCTAAAGATGGTAAGTGCTGAAAATTTTTTTTTATCAGTTCTTCAGAAAAAGCAAAGTGGCAAGTTTCTTTGTCTTACTTTTTTTACAGTTTTTCTTTGTTTGGAGTTCATGTGATTCCTGCAGTGTTTTTTACCTATGTGGCCAGAGGTCAGAGCAGGTCTTAAGAAACCTGGCCACTCCACCTGTCAGTCAACAGAAACACTGAGATGGTACCTAGTAGGTGTCATGTGTATCTCCAACACTTTTCCTTCAATGTTATTTAAAACTTTTCAAACATATTGAAATGTGCACCTCATATTAGGAGTGGAGGGGGTATTTTGCAATTACCTAGCTTGTTTGTCCATTTAGAGAGGAGAACAGCTGTTAAAATTATCTTTATTTTTATTATAGCTGATGCAAAATTAAAGGAAATGCAACTAGAATTGAATAAAGCACAACAACTTGCCAGGAAATACCATCAGATGTATGACATGGAACGACGTAGGAATGGGCTACCTGAGGGTACATACAGCACACCAGAACCTGAATCAGGTACACCAAGACAGAACAACAATTCATCAAGCTTCCTTGGACAGAATGTCAGAGTTAATGATGTTATTAGAAAAAATGAGGTATGAATTAGCAATAACCTTAATTTAAAAAAAAAATTGAGGGGATTTGTCAAACAAGTCATATATTTTGCTCATTTGGATTTAAATATATAAAAAAAATAATGTTACAAAAGCTTTAAGAAAACCTGCAGCTGTTGAAAATCATTATTGAATCTATTGAAAACTAAAGTAAAATCAGTCAAACTGTAATCTGAACAGATTTCAACAGTTAAGAGTATTTAATCTCATACTCCCATTTAGCTGTCAGAAATTTTAGTGCTTGTATAGCTGGTTTTATTGTTAAGAGTATTGGCTTTTGAAAAAATCTTTAATCATCAAAAATTTATGGGAAAGAGTCCTGATAGTTTTGCACATTTCGGGCAAAATTTATAGTATCTGTTTGTTCCTCATTTTTGTCTCGCCTGCGATGAAATTTGAAGAAAGCGAGACATGTATCGCTTTTCTGGCGGCGGCTCAGGTTGTGTCAACAATTGTTAAGTTTTCTGCTTAGTTTGATAGGAACTACTTGTGATAGATCAAAGATATATTCTATTAAGTTGCATTACTTTCAGTACATATCAGTTTGACGACTATTTCGAGGCCCTGCCCCCTATGTCATGGTCCAGTGACTTCGAGTAATTAGCCATTTTCAATGTTATCTTCTCTGCTTAAGTCAGTTTGATAGGAACTTCTTGTGATACATCAGTGATATTTGCTATAAAGATGCATAAGTATCAGTACAAATCAGTTTGATGACTATTTCGAGGCCCTGTTCCCTAGGTAATGGTCTTGTTGCAATGTTGCTGTCCATCAGATTGTCTTTTTTTTTAATTTTCTGTTGACATGCAAGATATATCTCTGTGTCAACAGTTTATGTTGTTAACAAAAGTTTCTATATTTGAGGAAATGGATAATAACAAAAATAAAAAGTTCAATTACCACATAAATAAACAGCTGCGCCACGAACGCATGATACGCCCGTCGTCTTGTGTGTGAGGTTTTATGCAATAATCATAAATCGTTTCTGAGATACGGAGCGACATGTGAAAACCCCCCTTTATGTCTCACCTTGACGGAGTCAAAAAGCAAGACATAGGTATGCTGTTTTTGGCGTCGGCAACGGCAGCGGCGTCAACAATGTATTAGTTTGTGATTTGGTCTAGTTAATGGTGAACCACTAGTGGTAGGTCAATGATATTTGGTATGCAGTTGTATTAGCATTGGCACATCTCATTACCATGGAGTATATTTTGCCCCACCCCCTCAGTCAAGGTCTATTGGCTTTGAAACTTTTCATAGTTTACATGTATTAGTTTGTGATTAGGTCAATTTATGGGGAACCACTAGTGGTAGGTCAATGATATTTGGTATGCAGTTGTATAAGCATTGGCATATCTCATTTCCATGGAGATTATTTGGCTCCGCCCCCTTAGTCATGGTCTATAGACTTTGAAAATTTTGCTAAGTTAACATGTATTAGTTTGTGATTAGGTCAGTTCAAGGGGAACCATAAGTGGTAGGCCAATGTTAATTGGTGTTCAGTTGTATAAGCATTAGCACATCTCATTTCCATGGAGAATATTTGGCCATGCCCCCTCAGTCATGGTCTATTTACTTTGAAACTTTTGCTTAGTTTACATGTATTAGTTTGTGATTAGATCAGTATAAGATGAACTGCTAATGTTAAGTCAATGATATTTGGTATGCAAATTTATTGGCATTTGCAAGTATCGTTTCCATGGAGATTATATAGCCCCACCCCTGATCATGGTTCATTGACTTTGAAACTTTTACATAGTTTACAAGTTAATGTTTGTGTTTAGGTTTGTTTAAAGGGAACGACTTAAAATAAGTCAATGGTATTTGGTATGCAGTTGTATTAGCATTGGCACATCTCATTCCATGGAGATTGTTTAGCCATGTACCTTCAGTCATGGTTCATCAACTTTGAATATTTGCATTACTTACATGTTAAAATATTGCTATTTTAATTTCAACATTTGCATTATCAAAATTACAAAAAGGCGAGACATATCTCTGTGATAACAGTTTATTTATAAAAAAATCAACAACTCTAAAATAAAATTTTGAATCATCACCAAAAAGTATACAGATCTTTAGATTAATATAACTTAGAAGTGTGTAAAGTTTTAAGCAATAATCATAAATCGTTTTTGAGATACGGCGCGACATGTGAAAAAAAACACACACCTGTTTTAGTTACAAAGTCCGGTAACTCAGAAAGTTTTAATCTTATTTTCACCAAAAAGTATACAGATCGTTTGACCATCATTCAAAACAACTATATTAAGTTTCAGACAGACGGATGCCGGACATTTGTATACCATAATACGTCCCGTCAAAATTTTGACGGGCCTATAAAAATTGAACAATAAAGAAAATAGTTTTCCAAATTTTATAAAGAATGTTATTATTGGATCATAATGGATTTACACACTATTTAGATTTATTGGATCACAAAGAAGATAATGTCAAAGATTTATATACTTATACTCAGAGTTTTATAACCAAGTTATTTACGTTTTAAAGCTGTATATATAATATACATGATAAACAAAATTAAGAAACAGGATTTGCCTTTGCAGCCCATCTGCCAATTGAGACCTTTATAAATAGTCAAGGTTGTTAAACATGCCCTAGTAGTTGTTTTATATAGCTCATATGACAAATATCTGAATAGATATGATGTGGGTTTATGGTATAAATGAACTGTTTAGCAATGTGGGTATCAGAAATAAATTATTTACTGGACTGTGGGAAAGGTTGATATATGTTGGTGGAAAAATGATACAAACATATAAATGAGAGATTAAAACATAAAAAACAAGTACTAAAAGTTCAATGATTACGCAAAGGTATTTCCCTTGTGAACAATTTTCATAAATTTAATGAGCAATACTATAAAACACCTTCACAGTTCTAACCATTAACCTGTCAGCTTGATGAATCTCTAAGAAATACTTTGAAACTCAGGGATTTTATTTTGTTTTTTACGCATTGACCATTTTTTATGTTATGTAGTGTAAGTTGAACTAAGTACATTACATGAACCAATTACAGAAGTATGTATTTGTTCTGCAAATGGAATTCTTTTATACCATTCTTCAAAGTATTCTTTACAGAACATCTTACATTTAAAATTTGATGCAATAATGTCAGAATGAAATATGAAAAACATATGTCTGTAAACATGAATGAGACGACAGACAATGGCAGGCAGAAATTTAAACCTGCCATCACTAATTTTTTTATTTGCTCAACCTTGTTACAAATATCAGATGTCTTCCAAAGATACAAATGATGTGGTATGAAATATGGAAATTTTCTGGGATTGGTATAGATTACTGGTACTTTTATAGCTTCTAGACTGGATTTTCAATAAAAAAACACAATTATAATTTGTTAAGTGCTTCCTAACTTGTACTTTATATATGAAAATTTATTGTTTAGAGCCTGAAGCTTAGGTTTCTGATTTTAATTTAGCAATATTTCAATTATTTTTTTTCTACTGTTGTTTGCTCCTACTATAACAGTATATAACTGCTTAATTCATTACTACTAAATTTGACTCAAACCCTCAAATTTGATTTATAACATACTATATCAGAATTACAAAAGTTCTATAGGAAACATCATCAATGCATGGAATTGGTATATAGTATCACATTTCATACATATTTTAGGACTAGACGCAATCTGAATAACCATTGTCATGACCTGCAAAGATTGCAAATAGTCATGTAGCCAATGTGTAAATATGATTATAAATAGTCAAACATAAGCATTTTGATGAAAGCACATGAAAAAGTATCCTTATGATTTTCCTAGGTCTGTCTGATTTCATGTCATAGGTGAACAATAATGTAAATCATTGTTTTACCTGTATACCTGTTACATTCTGTTCTTTCAATAACTAAACATGCCAAGAACATGCACAATGAATCTCCAATATGTCCAATGCATATACACCCAAATATATTTGTCTTGCAAGACAACAATGTATCAGCAATATTTTTTTAGGTCATTCCGTAAAAATTAACCATACTGACAGCTTATGGCGAATTATTGTTCATTATATTGTTCTTATAAATGTAGGTGAAGCTGTTCTAATCAGATGATTGGTTGGTTTGACCAATTTACCTTTAGACACTTCCAGGATTATGTGTTAATGTATTGCATTTTTTTGTCTTCTAAGAAAAATTCTGAAAAATAGTTTTTACACAATGATTAAATTAAATTTTGTAATGATTTAGACCACATCTTCCTCAATTAATAAACAGCTATTTAAAATTATATTTACATTATTTACATTTTGTTTGACAGGTGCTTGTGGAGGAAAATGAGAAATTGCACAGGGAAATAGCAAGGCTCAAACAGGACAATGCAGGACTGATAAAGAAATGTAAACATGCCATGTCTGATAAAGAAAGTGTTGTAGTAAGTTTATTAAAACGTTTAATCCTGCTGCAAATGTTTGCACCTGTCCTAAGTCAGGAATCTGATGTACAGTAGTTGTCGTCTGTTTATGTAGTTCATACATGTTTCTCGTTTCTCGTTTTTATATAGATTAGACCGTTGGTTTTCCTGTTTGAATGGTTTTACACTAGTAATTTTTTGGGGTCCTTTATAGCTTGCTGTTAGGTGTGAGCCAATGCTCCGTGTTGAAGGCCGTACCTTGACCTATAATGGTTTACTTTTATAAATTGTTACTTGGATGGAGAGTTGTCTCATTGGCACTCATACCACATCTTCTTATATCTATTATGTTATAGTTTTCATAATATATTCAGTAGACTGATGGTTAGATTGACTATTGTTTAATGTTACGTGTCATTGGATAGCTATCGCTCCAATATTCATTTGTTAAATACATGAGTGTTTCAGTGGCCTGTTTCCTTTAAATGTGCCAGTGTGGTAAATATTTATTCTGTAATGTTATGGGTGTAAATTTAAATGTGGTCAATTGATGATGGATATCAGTTGTTCCTTATAATGATAATGTTTGTATTGTAATACTTGATATCTCTGTTAACAGCATCGCCTAGATACAAGTGAAGCTAATAGGAGAGACCTAACAAAGAGATTAGACAGAGAAAAAACACAGGTATGTCAAGAGTATGAAAATAAATCTACAACCGAACTTCATAAAATTTGGCGGATACAAATTTTGGGAAATATTTTGCATGAATAAGCACAAAAAAGGTTAAGATTTGTATATACGCTATTTTTTCTAACTGTTATTAAAAAAATCATGGTAAAAATAAGTCTCAAAGTTCAAATTTGCTCTTAAAGTCCAGCTGAAAGTATTGGCTTTGGCATTATGACGTCGTAGATATAAAAAAGAAGATGTGGTATGATTGCCAATGAGACAACTCTCCACAAGAGACCAAATGACACAGAAATTAACAACTATGGGTCACCGTACGGCCTTCAACAATGAGCAAAGCCCATACCGCACAGTCAGCTATAAGAGGCCCCGAAATGACAATGTAAAACAATTCAAACGAGAAAACTAACGGCCTAATTTATGTACAAAAGATGAACGAAAAACAAATATGTAACACATAAACAACGCAACCACTGAATTATAGGCTCCTGACTTGGGACAGGCACATACATACAGAATGTGGCGGGATTAAACATGTTAGCGGGATCCTAACCCTCCCCCTAACCTGGGACAGTGGTGTAACGGAACAACATAAGAACAAACTATAAAAATCAGTTGAAAGAGGCTTAACTCATCAGATGGATAAAAATGCAAATAATACAAATACAAGTGGACGTGGCCGGGTACTTGTACATCCAAACAACAAAAAGACACTAAGTACAGATCCGAGAGTACTTAGTATTTTAGGAAGACATCACAGCAAAAAACAGATGGGATTGAGGGCATAAAAAAGAATGTGGTCAATTGTTTGAAGAGTATATGATTACCTCTTGATGTCTACTTTCTTATCTTGATATGTTGGGTAGCTGTCAAATTTATTTTTACAACTTTAGGTCATTGTTTGATTGTTTTTTAGTACTGTTAGGAGTTATTTGAATAGTTGACTAAGTTTTCTTGTAAACGATCTTGATTAATAAAGTGCCTCAGCTATAAAAGCTCTAATCAGTGCATTGTGTATAAAGTAAATACAGAATTTTTAAAAAGAGGCTTGAATTATGGAAAATGATGTTGAGTATAAATTCATGACACATGCAAAAACAAAAGCAATGGAATTGTGCTGTTATTGCTGTTCTTAATCTCAAAATAACAGGGAGGCCTTCCAGGCTGAGTGAAAATTATCACCTCACTGCAAGTTCGAGACACCCCTAGCACCAGTCTGAGCCGAATTCTTTACTAGATGTTAATCCCACTAAATCTGTGCATTTAAGTACACAGCTGCAGGGAAATATCAACATATTTTAATTAGTCTGGTAAAGAAATCTAACAAATACTGAATCTTGTCTCTCAGGAATAAGTAAATATGACCTTGATTTTACCTGATACTGCATGTAAAGTTTTTAATGTTTGTCAATGTCCATTTTAGCACAATAACTTATCTAGAAGTTTGACTAGACAAGCCTCAGACTGGATTCTTCTGAAGAAACAGTTAGCTCAATTTGATGAAGAATACAGATGGAGCCAGGTAGGTTACCATGACAACCATCTGTGTGTTTATTAACTCACAGGTGATCACAATATTTTCACTAAACACACTTTTCTTTTGCTGATGCAGTTGTTTTGAGAATGGTTGTTTGAGATGATTACTGTTTAATAAAAAGTAAAGATTTTGATGAAAGCTTTATTTGATATTTTTATGAATGGCAGCATTTCATTTTGACAGAATTTTACAAACGTCTTTATATTCATGTTTATATAACTTTCTTTCTGAAATGCATTGAGTCTAACATGACTTCTTGTTATACATACTCCACTATTGAATTAAAACACCATGATAGGCAAATGTTAGTAAGGTTGTTCTTATTGAGATAAACTTACTTAATTTGTATATTTTCAAAATGTATTCACATTTCCCAATTATCATTCCTGTCCATTCTGTAAATAGACTAAGTGAATTAGATAAAGTAGTCCTCTACTCAATGACAATGGGCAAAACACAATTTTCCATACTATACTATTGTTTTATTATAATCAGAAACATGAATTTTGAACAAATCCTTTTCATTCTAGGAAGTTTTAAACCACTAAGGAAATAATGTTTTTGTTTTCTTGGAGTTTCTTGATTACATCTGTAGAAAAAATATACTGTGTTTATCATTAAACTCAATGGTTTATATTGTATTATATTTATGGAGTGTAAAATCTACTTTATGCATTAAGAGCACATCTTTGCTCATAAACTTTTAAGAAATATCTATTATAAAAATATTTTAGGGTTAAAAACTATCAAGATGAAACCTTTTAGACTTTTTCATGTCAGTTTTTTTAATACAGAATATTACATCTTTTTGCATTTATATTTCTGTTTTTGAACATGAATGATGTGTTTTTCCAACAATCCAGAGCCTTTAAAAGCAAGCAATCAGCATTTAGAAGCCTTGTACAAATAAGCCTTGAGAAGTTAATTAAAGCTCACTGTTTCAGAGCTTTGAAAAGCTGTTTCAAGGCCTAAAAAAGCAATTTTAGTATTTCCATAAAAAGCAGGCTGAGTGTTTCCGGGCCTTAAAAAGTAGGCTCACTGTTTACAAGTCTGTAAGGTCAATATATAGTTAACATCTAGTAAATAATTTTGCTATAGACATCGCTTAGAAACACTAAATATATGACAGTATAACAAAAATAGGAAAACTTATATGGCTGCAACCTTGAGAACATTACATTTTAAAATATTTTGTAAATTGAATTTTTCTTTACTTCTCTATTAGACACTTCAGGGGTGGTAGGGGAAAGCTGCTGGAATGGGTCACTAATTCAAGTTTCATAATATAAGATATGAAACTACTGAATCCCATGTTAGTATTTTTAAAGATGTGATTAAAACCAGACATAATTACATAATACATATGCCATATCTATTTAACTTTCCATAAAAAAAGGTAATACAGCTAAGCTATAGGACTATTTTTTGTCAAAAAATATACGATTGGGTACATATTCTTTGATATTCAAAATATATGAAAATGATGGGGCATTGGTTGTTGTCAGCTGCTCACTCCTACCACAAAAGGATCAAAGTGGAACCTTGAGTTAGACATATGATTGCTGTATGTGCTTGTTTGATTTGTGAGTGATACCACATTCAATACTTGCTGCATTTGTTAATATTAAGCCAAATAAGTGAGAGTTTAAAGCATGCAGTATAAGATGAACTACTAACATCATCTAAACCAATAAAATACTTTGTATAAAATCAGTTTGTAATTTATTTCCCATATAAGATGAAACAACAGTGTGAAGAAGAAAAACAAAGATTTGGATTACTTCCACCGATATATTACTATATGCCTACGGGAAATACTGATTTCACATATAATGATGATAGTGAGGAATACTCTCTGCCACCAGAGGGCACCACAGAACCATGTCTTACCCCAATAACAGAGGTTGACTCATGCTTCAGCAATGACCTTGAATAGTGGTGGTATTGAAAATAAAATGTAAACTCACCGCTTTAAATAAGACATCACTTACCATACATAGGGGCATGAAAAATATAAAGAATCACAATTTGTCCTAACTCAACTGTAGTTATGTAAGGCAGCTTGCATGTTTCACAGCTTATATAATAGTATGGGTTATAAAGAAGATATTTTATATTAGGATTTTTTATTAGTAGATTTAAAATGAGCATGAAAATAAGATATCTGTAGCAATACACAATTATTGTTAAATAATAATCACTTCAAAGGTAGATAGGAATGGGAGCAATGGTGGTATACAGTGTCTAAAATATAAAGATTATTACCGGTAGATAATTTCTGTATTGAAAAAGTTTACCTTTATTTAGATAACAAGGAAAAGACCACAAACAAGACAGAGCATTGGTTTGTCTCGCAATACAACTTGCCTTTAGTACAGGTCATAATCAGTTAGATGTCCATGCACAGTTCAATGTATTTTCCATCAGCCAGATATGATAATATTTTTTACTGCTACTGTTATGTATTTTGCTTGTTCTTAATCTCAGAAGCATGATATGTACTGCTATACTTTATTACTGTTAGTATTTACCTATATCATTATGATATGAAGTAGGGGGGAATGTAGTAGATGTAATAGACTGATAATGTCCCTTTGCAAGTTACATGTTACAGCTTTCAGTTTTTGTATCTGTTCCCATGAATTAAAATGTCAATACATTATAACCATAAAAATAACTTTTCACTATCACACTACCCAATTATTAACCTTCCAGAACTTATGTTCTTTTACTGGGACATTTGAGGGAGAATTTTTCATTTTTTATATTAATTTTTTTTTACAATTTTGTTTCTATAATCTGATATGTTAGGTTGAGTGAAATTAAAATATCATTAATCAAATTTTTGTAGTGTATTTATTTATAAATGTAAAATGTATAAGCAAAAGTTATAAAAGGGGTTAATTTAGTTAATTATGCTTATTGTACTTGCTTTACTAAAAGATAAAGTTTTTCATGGGTCTTTAATTTGTGTTTGCACATTTGGAAGAATTCAACTCATTGGAAAAAATAATATTGTGTTCATATCATTTCATTATCAAGATCATATCAAGAGCAACACGACAAGGTACTCGAAAGGGTAAAAAGACTCCTGCAAACCATCCACCACCGACAGGGAGTCAAATGAAACGTGAAAAATCTATCCTCGGCTCAGAGTGGACATCCTTGTATAAACATAATAGAGCTGAATCAATAGCAAACTGGAGTCGAACCTCAAAACCAACCAGAGAGCATTCCCTTATTTCTGAATACATTGGGATCACTAAACCAAAACGAGAAAAATCCAAACTTTTCCCTCCAATTTAAACAGGTGACCTATATGTCAGCATGGAGTGAATTAATTCACCAATCACATATTTTTAACAAATAACTTACAAATATTGAGAGTCACGTATGAAGTTTAGTTTTGTCACATCCCAATAAAATCCTGTTACCTCCCTTGAAAACTTTTAATATCATGACTTGGATGCGTGTTTAAAAGATTATGCCTTAAAGGCTAGACTTTTGTAGATTTTGAAAACAGAGTGAATTATTATGAATTGGAAATCACTGCAACAGTGTGGCATTTTGAACTCATAGCAAAGACTGTCAAATAACAGGATGGGCGAAACATAAGTCTACATAAAATAAAATTCCAAGCATGCACTCGATCATTGCATAAATTTTATTTTGAATTCTTGTTGCACAATTTTCATCAAAATCCTGTTCTATTGTCACATCATTCTCACTTATTTGTCAGAAACACTGAGGCCTAACTTCAAGACCAGTTGAACACTGCACAGAATAAATAGTTCTTTATTTCAGATTATCAAATTATGAATCTTTGCTACTATCGTAGCATGTGAAAGAATGTTGCATACTTATATATATAGCTGCTTTGTATATTTCTATTATATTTGATATTAACATACAGACATCTTTATGCCATTGAAATTTTTGCAATATTTAAAGAAGTTTTATTGTAGATTTGCTGTTGCTTAGATATATATTTAAAATATTTTAGAGATGACCACCAGCTAAGTACTTTGATCAATTTTGTATAAAATAGAAGTATTTATGTTTTGATTGGTTCATTGTACAACAGGTATAGAAAGCTTATATGTATAGTAGAAAATTCACATACAGTAAAATCTGAAGTTCTGAAAGCTTTGCATGTTTGTGCATGGTGTGCATGAAAAATGTACAAGCTATTTTGCTTAATGAATAGTTATAATTACATATTGAGAACATTTTATTGAATTTTCAAATCCAAATGTTAATGGAGATCCATTTTTAAGTGTTTTCTATTTTAAAGAAAATATGTGAAATTTTAAAAGTAATATATATATATATATATTTAACAGGTTATTTTCAAGTTACCCTTTTTCAGCTATGGATTAAAATCATTATTTTGTTTAAAGTATTAGAAAACACCACAAATGGTAGAAAATGTAAAAGTTGTGTTGAAAAATTTCATACTCCACTGAAATTATTTTGAAATATTTTACGCACAATTGTCATTTGTACAGCATAAAAGTAAAGCATTTCTTTTAAACAAATATTGTATTGAATAAAGATTTATATTCTTATATATGTATAATTGTATTTTGACAGGTTGGTCCAGTAAATCCTCACGGCGCTGACCAAAGAACTTACTCTCATCCTGTACCTAGAAATGTTTACCAACCAAGAAGAATGTTTTCTCCAGAAAACTATGCCAACCAAAGCTCGACAGCATAAAAATTAATGTGTTCAAATAATTGTGTGATGTGAAAATCTGTTTAGTTTTTTTAAAGCATTAAACAATAGTATTATAAAAAAGTAATCATGTATTTCAAATTTTGAACATTATACTTAAACAAATAAGTAATTGTAAAACAAATCATGCTGTAACTATGTTTGACCCTACTATTTTTAATGGGAGATAACGGCGTTTTGCATTTGCACCTATCTGCATTTCATTTGCGCCAATTTTTTCTTTCACTTGCGCCAATTTTTTCTTTCATTTGCGCCGATTGTGTACAGGTAAATTACAGGTGAGTTTTATTTTCTATTTATTTTTATAAACCTCTTTCGTTAACCATTTGTACATATGTTATGAATTGTCAATTATAACATGTATATAACTGTTGTCCCCTGCACACCGTGATGAGGTGGAATTAGGATTTCGAGCAGGATAAGTCAATTCAAAAGACAAAAGCACTGTGTGGCTAACGGAAGAGGTTTTTAATGATAATGATAATGAAAAATAACATTCACCTGTACACAATCGGCGCAAATGAAAGATCGAAAATTTAAAAAATCGGCGCAAATGTCATGCGCACGGAGATAACTTAAAATTTTTATTTATTGCAGGAAATTTTGTTACTTACAATTAAGTGCTAGCATTTTTACTGTTAGTCTATTAGATTATGAAAATTAATTTTAAATATTGTTATTGTAAAGTGTGAGCAGTTTCAGAACTTAAATTAGCTATATTTTGGATATCTTTGTTAAAAAAAAATCATCATTCTTTTTTGAATGTTGACTACCTATAATGAGGAGTAAGAGGAGTAAAGATTGTGATAAATAGTTTTTGTAAAGGTTTAAAATCTGTCCATGTTTATGTGTTTTTTTTTTTATGTATACATGTATTCTTGCTAATTTATAATTATTACACAGGGTAGGTACTTGGTGATTTTAAGGCTACTAATTTAATTGCTCAACTTAAAGGTGAATATTGAATTGATTTTTCTTTGATTATAAATACCCACAGGATTTGTTACTTTTCTGCCACACAGTATTAGATGAAAGTTGTACTGTCTATTAACTCAAGTTATTTTTAATGTCTATTAGACATTCAACTTAACTTTACCACTGCAGTAATTTTTTTTAATTTTTGTAATGAACATTTTTTCACTCCATTATTTTTTATGTCTTGGGAGTTTGTAGAGACTGATAACAAAATGAAATGTCAAATTTTACATTACAGCTTGTCTTTAAAGTTTTTGTTTGATTGTGATCATAGTTTTGACATCATTAGTCAGTTAATTTAAATTAAAAAATGTTTTCAATGACAAATGTTGTGAAAAATTGAAAGCTAAAAACCCATGATTTTTTTTTTTTTAAGTTGCAATATCATTTTTGTTACAGTATATGATAAATGTCAATATACTCTGACCAATACAGCTGACAATAAATGACCTTTCATTAAATGTTTTTGTCCATATCTTTGCTTTGAGAATACTTGATGAAAACAAGTGATGTGGATCAATTCCATTGACATTTGCTAGATGGCATACTTTTTTTCCCCGCAGATATGACTAAAGATGTTCAGATAAACTGTGAATGTCAATGAAACAGCAAACCAACAACACAAGTACACAAAAAAACCCACATATTCAGAGGTTATGATATGGTTTTCAAAGATGGATAAGTGTCCATACTGTCTTACAAGGCCTAAATCTTCTTGATCTAAAGAATTATGAATGATTTCAATTGTCTACCTCTTTAGCGCCATTTAGATAAAGTTAACAAAAATACAACCTATTTGAAATAGGTAAGTGTAAATAGATAGTAGTATAACAAAACATTTGTTAGGATAGGAATTTGGTTTTCAGGTATTCATGTCAATATGTGTAGAATGTACAAGTTGCTTGAAATAAAGTTACTTTAGGATTACTCATAATTATGTTTTAACAATTTACTAATAAGACATTGACATGGTGTCACAGTGAATTTGTTAACAACTTTAATCCAAATAAGCTAATGAAGTTTTATCTAACTAACCTATTTTGTTCAGTTAAATGTGCAATTAGCATGTACAAATGTCATACTTACATCATAAAATTTCCACCCACCTAATTGTAATTCTGGGAAATTCAGGTTAGCTAGCTTTAAAAATGTAAAAAAAAGTTTGAAATTTAAAGAAATAGGAGTCAAGAGATGAATCACATTAAAGGAGTAATTGATATAGAATTTTAATGACTAATGTTCTACAGTTATAATATTGGATTTTTTTTTAAAAAATAAATATACATATACAATGTTATAAAAAACGAATGTTTGACAGAAAAGTTTATTTTCTTGTATCAAAATGTAATTTTGTGCCATTTAATCCAGCGGTTTTGAAGGAAAATTTTGGTGCGGACCATTTGTTTTAAGATGTAAAGTTCAGAACATTGTTTGAACACACCCTCTATTTTAATTACCCTTTCAGTTTTATAATGGTCACAGTTGTAATCTTCTTCAGATAATTTTGAAAATTTTTACTTTTATAAGTTGATTCACTATGATTGTTTATATGAAATAAAAACACTAAGTCAATGACTTTATAATCTGACTAGTTTTTTCGACAGTTTTGGATGCTATTTAGAATTGTTAAATATAGTTTTCTGTATAATCTTATATTCTTTTCAGTTTAATTTCCATATATATTCGTGATGATCAGGAGATTATCTTTATTTTCTCTATTTGCTTACAAAAACTGTTTTTATATTTCCCCAGTTACATATTTATTACTTGTTATACAATCTGGTCATAAGCACAGGTTGAGTTTTATAGCAATATTAACCAGCTTGGTTTTCTCTGATTTAACAAGTGTGTAAATAGTCATACTAGGCAATGTCTTTTTTTAAAGCCTTGGATGTGATTTTAGAATGTGTTGCATTCATGATGTGTTTTTTTTCGCTAAAGATTTGCTCATCTGGTGAATATTTAAAGTTGATTTATACTTAAAAATAACCTTTTAATTTTATAATACTGTTGATTCATTATATATGATGGGGTACCGATTTTCATGAATTTTGTGGGTTATGGTAAATCAGGAATTTAAAAGTTCAACGAAATATCAATTTTTATAGGCTTGTATGCAGACTTTAAAAAATCCATATATTCAAATACATTTATCCATGAATACTCAATTTACCTCAATCCACGAAAATGGGTAGCCACAAACAAAATAATCCACAATACATTAAAACATGCCTTTGAAATGTATTTACTGAATCAGAGACCAGCATGCAACATTTTTTTGCTATACATTCTGATGTTAGATTGAATAAGTTATGAGTGTCCCTAACTGTTTGACTTGGTTTTTTTTTTTATCAAGTTTGATTTCATAAGAAACAACATTTAGACAATAGTAACATTAAATCTAACCACAACAACAAGTGACTAAGAGTACATATTAAATAAGATAATGAACTTTTGAAGGTATATTTAAGTTTCTTGTATAATTATCCAAACCATACTGCTGCTGATGGAAATCTTGTGGTTAATTATAATCCACTCAAAAGGTGGGGGCTTTATTGCATTCACCTTGTCCTGCTGTCTGTTTTTCCAGCATAAATTTTCATCACTCTTTTCATAATAAACTCATCATAGATACCAGGATTGAAATTTTGTATTTGCGCCAGACGTGCGTTTCGTCTACAAAAGACTCATCAGTGATGCATACTACTGAACAGAATGACTATATTAAGTCAGCAGCTTGACAGTAATGAGTTGTGAACACTTACTTCCTGTTTTATACTTTGAATGACTAGTGGGGATATGGTTAGCACTACACCCTGAACTTTGTGGTTATGGTATACCTTGTTTTACATTGTTATAGGATAGACACAATTTTAATTGTCTCAAGGTCAAAGTATATTCTCCTGGACTGAAAACAAATATGGTAATTTAAATGAGTTTTATTATTTAGCCCTATAAAATCTAAGATTGACAATCTGAGACTGTTTCAACAGTATGTATTGTATAAGAGTACATTTCATATTGGTTATTTTTTATCTGGGCACATAATGTGTTATATTTTGGACCAAATAATTTATTAAATGGTCTGTACTATATTTGTTTGTTAATGATATTTTTTTACATATGTTAGTTAGTACGCGAGTCAACAATGATATTGTTTACATATGTTAGTGAGTACGCGAGTCAACTTTTGTTTTTAACAATTGATCTGTATTATTATTTATTTGTATGAGAACACTATAATAAAATATCTTCACTTAATTAGTATTGTTTGGCCTTCAAACATCTCATAACATGATACTATATAGAAAGGTCCAGCTGTTTCACCATCAGAAGCATGACGTTTGTTGTTTTGAATTATAAGGACAATGAGAAATGTTTAAAGTAGTAAGCTTTTTTGTTTTGTTTTACCAATATTATAAAATTTCCATATGAGGTTACTGAACTTAAAAAACATAATAAGTTTGTACTTAGTTTCATTCCAAACTAACAACTTTTTGTTGATATGGAAAAATAACGGCTAAATAAAAATGTTTTAAGCATTAATAAAGTGTTTGCACTTAACCCCTGAAATAGCCCCAAATCTCAACCTTTCTTTTTTTACCCTGTATCAATTGATTGAGTATTATATCCCCACTAGAGGAGTGGCGGCTATATTGCATTTACCTGGTCTGTCTGTCAACATGTTTGCCCACAAATATTTCTGTAGCACTTTTCTCAGGTACCACAGAGCAGAATAACTTCAAATTTGGACAGCAGCTTGATAGTGATGAGTTGTAAATTAGGGCAATGATATTTGATATGCAGTTGTATTAGCATTGGCACATCTCATTTCCATGGATATTATTTGGCCCCGCCCCTTCAGTCGTGGTCTATTGACTTTGAAACTTTTGCATAGTTTACATGTATTAGTTTGTGATTATGTCAATTTATGGGGAACCACTAGTGGTAGGTCAATGATATTTGGCATGCAGTTGTTTTAGCTTTGGCACATTTCATTTCCATGGATATTGTTTGGCCCCATCCCCTCAGTCATGGTCTATTGACTTTGAAACTTTTGCTGATTTACATGTATTAGTTTGTGATTAGGTCAGTTTATAGGGAAACACTAGTGGTAGGTCAATGATATTTGGTATGCATATGTATTAGCATTGGAACATCTCATTTCTATGGAAATTGTTTGGTCTTGTACCTTCGGTCATGGTTCATTGAATTTGAATATTTGGCATAACTTAAATTTTAAAGTATTCCTATTATAATTTCAACATTTGCATTTTACTATCAAAATAACAAAAAGGCACGACATATCTCTGTGTTAACAGTTTATTTTCTGATATTTTGAATTACAAGTTTGGGATAAGCTTAGCACTATGTCGAATGTAATCTTGTTTATATCTCCTAAGTCACTACATATACATCTAATTTTTTAAGATAGTCTAGGGATTACTAGTATGACATTCAAATCATCTCAGGTATTGGCTGGTTCATTAATACTCATAGAATCTGAAAGAAAATCTTAGTGACTGACTTGTACACTGAGATTCATATCATATGAGTCATTCACTTGTTTGGTGACACTAAAAGTCCAAGAAGTCGACTTGGTTAGTTATAAGCAAAGTCTGAGACATTGACTCATTCAGATAGTTAAAGGCACTGACTTGTTTACTGATGTTCAAATAGTTTGAGACAATGGCTTGTTCAGTGACGTTCAACTTGCTTGAGAAACTGACATCAAGGTCTTATGAGTCATTGACTCATTCAATGATATTCAAATCATTTGAGACACTGACGTTCAAGAAGTAAGCAACTTGTTTAATGACATCCAGACCACATGAGACTCTGACTTGCACACTGACATTAAGATTCTACGGTAATTTTTTTATACTGACATTCACATTGTCTCAAACACTGACTTGTATTTACTTCGTCTGAAAACTGACATTCACATCGTCTAAAACACTGACTTGTACACTGACATTCAGATCGTCTAAAACACTGACGTGTACATTGACATTCAGATAGTAAAAACACTGACTTGTACACTGACATTTTTTCATCGTCTTAAACACTGACTAGTACACTGACATTCAGATCTTATACTTTGACACTGACTTGACAACTAACATTCATATCATCTTAGGCATGCACAGACTTGTTTACTGACACTCAGATCGTCTAAAACACTGACTTGTACATTGACATTCACATCGTCTTATAAACACTTACTTTTACGCTGACATTCGTATTGTTTGAGGCACTTACTTGTTTACTGACATTCACATCGCCTAAAACGCTAACTTGCACACTGACATTCAAATCTTATAAGGCACTGACATGTACTGATATTCTTATTGTCAGACGCACTGACTTGTTCACTGACATTCACGTCGTCTAAAACACTGACTTGTACACATACATTCACATCGTCTGAAACACTTACTTATACACTGACATTCTGATCTTATAATGCACTAATTTGTACATTGACATTCTGATCTTATAAGGCACTAATTTAAATGTACACTTACATTCGTATCATCTGAGGCAATGATTCATTTACCGATATTTAATTCGTCTAAAACACTGACATGCACATCGTCTAAAAGACTGACTTGTACACTGACATTCATATCGTCTTAAACACTGACTTGTACATTGACATTCTGAAGCTACGAGGCACTTATTTGTACACTGACATTTGTATCATATGAGGCACTGACTTGTTTACTGACATTCACATCGTCTAAAACTCTGACTTGTTAATTGACATTCACATCGTCTCAAAACTCTGACTTGTTAATTGGCATTCACATCGTCTCAAAACTCTGCATTGTTAATTGACATTGAATTTCACATCGTCTCAAAACTGATTTGTATACTGACATTCACACCGTCTTAAACACTAACTCATACACTGACATTTAAATCTTATAAGGCACTGACTCTTACACTGACATTCGTTACGTCTGAGGCAATGACTCATTTACCGATATTCACATCGTCTAAAACAGTGACATGCACATCGTCTAAAACACGGACTTGTACACTCACATTTAGATCGTCTTAAACACTATTTTGTACATTGACATTCTGATCTTATAAGGCACTTATTAAGGTCTTTCCACTCCGTTGTTTTTCTAATGTTTTTTTTTCTTCTAGCATTTTTTTGACATGCCCTCTCAATATTTCTATTGGAGTTATCAAGACCAAATTTGTCCCACCGATAGACCTCATCAAGAAGTATTACCAGATGACCCTGTTAAGGATTTCATCATCCCCTTTAGAAGTTATCTCCCTTTTATTGGTTTTTTTTCGACATGCCCCCCTCGTTGGTTTTAAAGATATCACGGCCTTATTTGTACTATAGGTAGATCTCATCATGATGTATTACCATATAGGATTTCAACAACCTCTTTGAGAGTTATATATATATCCCCTTGAAGCAATTTCTTTTATTTGCATTTTTCTTTAAAATGGCAGCATGTACAAGAACAGATAGCAATGTTAATAAACAAAAACAATTAGTATGATATCAACCCTTATAAGGAGTTATTTCCCTTGAAAAATTATACACAATTTCTGAAAAATTATATTTCGAGAACCGGAAGTCGTAGAGACTTGGAACCTTCACCAATAATCTTTAATTCGTGTGAACTTTAATTTGCACCAAAGGTCAAAGGTCACTGAGAGCAAAAAAAATTTACGCTGCAATTTCAAGCTATCATATTAAGAAAACGATAAGAGTTTGATGCATACATACGACGAGCTCTACATTTTATTCATTAAGTTCAAAACTGTCCGACCGTCTGTTCAAAAGTTACGACGAGATAATTCTTAAAAGTATAGTATTGTGTGCAGATCTTTTTAAAGGTAACAGATATCAATCTACTATAAATTGGAAAAATGATCAGTATTTTAAGACCTTCAATTTGAGGTCAATGTCAGGTCATGATGAAATTTTACCTTGACCTTCAAAGTGTTTTATGACCTTAACCTTGTGATATTTGAAAGGTCAAGTTGTCCTGAGTTGAATGGTGGTAGTCCCATATCTCTACGACTTCCGGTTCTCAAGTTTGGTATTGCATCATATATTTGATTATTCATTGTGACCTTGATAAACCTTGGAATTGTCCATTTTTTTTTCTAAAATGTTGATCTTCAACTGCAGATCATTTATCATTTAACAGATTTGAGATATCTATTGTCGTTTTACAAATAATGCAGTTTGAAATTTTGCGAGCGGAGGCATGTATTTCTGAATCGACAACAGCTTTCCACCTGAAATTTTCAGAAATTGAAGAATTTAACATGGTTATATGTTTGACTAATTACCAAAAACTTTCAATGAAAAACTCAAAAAAAAAATCAATTTGAAATTTTCATCTTTTACATTGACTGTAAGTTTTATAAGTTCTATTTATATAATTGATATTGCATCATTTTTGGCACTTTGTCAAATGCGGTCATTTGATATATCAAATTGAAGGTCTAAATGAGCTCTACTCAAAAATGAAAATTTTAAACCCCTTTTTCATCCCAGTTGGAAGGGTGGGGTCATTTAGTGCAAAAAATTCAAACTTCTCAGATGGTTAGGTTGTCGCATATCAAATGAAAGTTCATAAAGCGTACATTTCAAATATCAAATTGAAGTCCCCCGAAAATGGGTTGGGTGGGGTCATTAAGTGCAAAAAATACAATGTCTCATAAGGTAAGGTTGTCATATATCAAATGAAAGGTCATAATGTGTACATTTAAAATATCAAATAACTCTCCTCCAAAAATGAGTTAGATGGGGTTATTAAGTGCAAAAATCAAACTTTCTAGAAAATGGTGTTGTCGCACAGCAAATAAAAGGTCATTTGGTCTACATTACAAATATCATACTTCCGATCTCAAAAATTTAGGCGGAATGGGTAATTAAGTGTAAAAAGTGAAAAGGTTCAAAAGGTATACTTCTCGTATATCAAATGAAAGGTCGTAAAGAGTACATTACAAAACATCACTTTTACAGGAATGACCTTTCAATTGTTTTACAAACAACTGAGAAACTAGTTTGTACACTGACATTTGTATCATCTGAGGCACTGACTTGTTTACTGACATTCACATCGTCTAAAACACTGACTTGTTAATTGACATTCACATCGTCTAAAACACTGACTTGTTAATTTACATTCACATCGTCTTAAACACTGACTTGTTAATTGACATTCATATCGTCTAAAACACTGACTTGTAAACCGACATTCACATCGTCTAGTAAAACACTGACTTGTTAACTGACTTTCACATCGTCTAAAACACTGACTTGTAAATTGACATTCACATCGTCTAAAACACTGACTTGTTAATTGACATTCACATCGTCTAAAACACTGACTTGTTAATTTACATTCATATCGTCTAAAACACTGACTTGTAAACCGACATTCACATCGTCTAGTAAAACACTGACTTGTTGACTGACTTTCACATCGTCTAAAACACTGACTTGTTAATTGACATTCACATCGTCTAAAACACTGACTTGTTAATTGACATTCGCATCGTCTAAAACACTGACTTGATAATTGACATTCACATCGTCTAAAACACTGACTTGTTAATTAACATTCACATCGTCTAAAACACTAACTTGTTAATTGACATTCGCATCGTCTAAAACACTGACTTGTTAATTGACATTCACATCGTCTAAAACACTGACTTGTTAATTGCTGTTCACATAGTTTAAAACACTGACTTGTTAATTGACATTCACATCGTCTAAAACACTGACTTGTACATTGATATTCACATCGTCTTAAACACTGACGTGTACACTGACATTCACATAGCCTTAAACACTGACTTATACACTGATTTATACACTGACATTCAGATCTTATAAGACACTGACTTATACACTGACATTCAGATCTTATAAGGCACTGACTCTTACACTGGCATTCGCATCGTTTGAGACACTGACTTATTTACCGATATTTACATCGCCTAAAACACTAACATGCACATCGTCTAAAACACTGACTTGTTAATTGACATTCACATCGTCTCAAAAAATGACTGTTACATTGATATTAACATCGTCTTAAACAATGACTTGTACACTGACATTCACATTGTCTAAAACACTGACTTGTACACTGACATTCAGGTCTTATAAGGCACTGACTTTTTTTACTGACATTCACATCGTCTAAAACACTGACTTGTACACTGACATTCAGATCTTATAAGGCACTGACTTGTTTACTGACATTTCCCATCGTCTTAATCACATACTTGTACACTGACATTCAGCCTCAGACGATACGAATGTCAGAGTACAAGTGTATTAGACTAGCATCATTCAGATGATATATATAGAGGCTGTAACAGTGTAATTTCCTTAATTCAATGGAGCCACTTTACTTTCTATAACATCATTTTCATATCTTACCTTACACATTAATGCTCCTTCCATTTGAAATCACTGAGTCAAACATAGGTTAATTGATGTCTACACCCTTTGAAGCCTAAACTCCACTGACATTTTTACTTTGACTGAGGTACCTATTGCGGTAATTATAGTCCAAATCTTTCAAGTATGGTTAACTCTGCTGACAATCAAACGATAAAGGGAGTTTACTGATCATTGATTTGTATACTTTTGACATTATGTCCCTTCAGGGGCCCTTAATTGGATATAAAGAACGTTATACTAAATGATTCATTGATAAGGCACTCTAATCATTACTGAGACAAATTTAGTGCTGGTACTGTCGACATTCTCATCCAAACAGGAACAATTGGTTGTAATTACGTTGAATCAGTGTTTAGCTACTTAACATTGTATTTTTGTGCTGAGACTACTATAACACTGTGTTATAGTAGTCTCGGGTTTGTGTCTGTGTACCATGATATATTATCATGTTTTAGTGCTTTTGTGTATGTGTGTGTGTGTGTGTGTGTGTGTGTGGTTTGTTTTGTCTGTGTTTATGTCATGGTGGTATTAAGTAAAGCTTAGGTACTAGAGCTTTGTTTTTTTATATGCTTTAACATGTGCCCAATTGAAATAAATGTATGTAAATATAATCTAACACTTATATAGTTCGTGCTTCCGTTTTTCTGGATAAACCCTCGTCAGGAACGCTCAAACACAACATTTAAAAGCCAGTGATATAAATATCTAAATATCTAAGGAGCTGAACAAAAGGGGCCTACACAGTATTGAGGGGGTGGACAGCTTTTGAGGGAGGTGGGAGGTGGGAGAAGGGGGCGGGGGGGGGGGGGGGGGGGGCGGGAGGTGGGAGAGAAAAAAAAGATTATAAAAGTGGGAGGTGGGAGATAAGGGCGGGAGGTGGGAGGTGGGAGAAAGGGGGCGGGAGGTGGGAGAAGGGTACCCCCCTGTTCACCCCTCAGTATGATCTAAGGTCAACTTTGCCTGAGAGAGTTGGAACCATGTTATTTTCTGAATAATTTCTTAATTTATCAACGCCGGGAGAATTTGAGGAAATACTTTTCTGGAATAAATTATAAATCATGCTTCGTACTGGCCTGACGATAGCTTCGGGGGTATCGACCCAGTGCTAGTTGATAAGAAATAACACTTAATAAATTGTATGCGTTCGAATAGCCGAAACCTGGTTTCTACACGTACATTTATATACGTAGTCAAATGAACCAATTTACCAACAATTTCATTGACTGGTCTTAAAAATAGTTGAACAATCGATACCGAGGACGTGGTTTGAATTTTATTGAGCAAGCATCAAGTTTTTTCCATGACATTGCGTTCACTACAAAAACCTTAGAAGTATATTCACGTTCTGTGTCACTGTACCAGGTGATACTATGATAAACAGTTTGGTCTGTAGATTTATATATGTCTTTTGAACATAAGAATAGAAGGATTTTCATTAGGCGACACGCACAACTATTTAGTAGTCCCAGCTACTATTTACAAAGCCCATCCCTGAAAAATTTTCAAATCTCGACTAGTATAACAATAAGGAGATGTGGTATGAATGCCAATGAAACAACTATTCATCATCTTTCTTAGTAGCCCTTTTAGCATCTTTGTAGCCCAAACCGAATTATACAAAAAGTCATATGCTATCATACATGTAATAATCATTAATAATTTGCCTTAATTGTCTCATGTTGTATAAGTCAACATTTATAAATTACAAATTATATGTCTCATGTTGTATAAGTCAACATTTATAAATTACAAATTATATGTCTCATGTTATACATATTCATATCTTTCAAATTAAAGGCAAACGATAAAAACATATTTATTCACACAATATAAATTATCTTTGTCCTCACTGTTTATTATATGCCTAAATTATTTTTTTGTTATAGGAATCTCAGATATATGGAAATACTTATTCTCCTCATTTAACTGGCTATTTATAAAAAAAATAATTTTATGTTAGATATGAGAATAAACCAGACATAAATTATACAAATCACATTAGTTTTTTTTTATCGAAACCAGGGACTAATTCATGAATACGTGATATAATCAGGATAATATATAGAATATGAAGTCCATTCCTAGGGTATGGACTTCTGAAAAAATAAGTATTTCTCCTTTATATTCTAGATCTTGATCGAAACATGCATTTTCTTGGTCTAAGGGCGACAACTTCGAAGATTTAGTGCGGGAAAACGTCAAGTTAGTTATGCGTTTTAAAAATTATGATTTTATACTGTTACATCTAAATCCAGTCAACGTTGATTTATCAAAACAAAAGTCATGGCCTACGTGTGACAAAGTGAGTGGAATAAGTTTCAAGATAAAGATACAACACAATTCATGAAATTCATATTCATTGAATGAACATAGAGTGCTAACAAAGGAATCATGGTTTACGTAGGACAGGGTAGGTCATACAAGATACAAAATACGTTAGGTTTTTCGTTCTGAATTTGTCCAAATAATTTATCTGATTCAGTGATAATGACGTCTTGAAACAAGTCAGGAATACCATTATTTGGTGGATTATACCTGAATTCAAGTATAATCCATCAATTATTAAATGATGGTTTAGACCAGTTAATGTATATTGACATTTTCTTCATTTTAAATCTTATAACTCGTGTCCGCCTCAACTGTGGGAGGCTGTGGCTTGTGTGGGTTTAAACCATGTCCAGGCAAAACCAAAGACTTATAAATATAAATTGATATTTGCTGCTTCTCCCCTAAGAATGCAGTATTATAAAGAGTAGGAAGCAAAGACTGATTGACTCAGAGTCAGAGTAACGTGTCCAGGTAGTGTTTCATGTCTTCCTGTATACTGTTGCATTTGTACCTTGTGAATTAACACGGTTAAAAAATCTGGCACAGAGTGTTGCTCTAGTACAAAGTAGGATTAATATTCATATTACATTTATTTGTTTTTGTTGTGAATATGCATTTATTTTGCCACTTAAAGTTATAATAAGCCATCCCTCATCATCATCATTAAATCTTTAAATAAAATTAGTGCATGGTTTTTGCATAAAACTAAAACTTTGATGAGATGTATACGTACAGTAATTGCTTCCAGAGTTCAAAAGATGAAGATAAATGCAATTATAGGTCACTGTATGGCGTTCAACAACGAGAAAAAACTCATACTGTATAGTCCGCTATAAATGGCCCTGTCATGAAAAACGTGAATCAATTTAGATGAGAAAACTAATGGCCTAGTTTATAACAATGCAATTTACGAAAAACATGATGGACATAAACCAAGAACTACTACTGAATTACAGGCTTCCGACCTGGGACACACGCACAATGATTTGACGGGGTCAAACATGTTTATGAGAGCTCAACCCTTCCCAAACCTGGGACGGTGCATGTGGTGTAACAATAAGTTCACCAAGTAAATAAACATGGCTTCATATGACTAAATACAAAAATATTTAAAAATCCATTCTGTTACAAACATAGGGTAACTTGCCCTTGAATTGTATTCCTTAATACATGTTATGACTGTTTAATATCAATCTTTGACACAGCAAATTTTCACAGGTTCTGAATCCTCCACAAACTTCCATCAGAAGCTAATAAACATCCAGTAATATATATTGGAAGTACACCAATGTACTCTAAACTAATCAGGGTTCACACTAAGACGAGTCCATGAGTCCTGGTCATGGACTCATGAAAATCTGTTGAGTCCAAGGATTCATCAAGATTGTAAAATGTTATATCAACTGAGCACACACATCATTTTATCATGTTTATAGCAAAAGTTTAAAAATAATCTATATATGATGTCTTTTCCTTGCTCTTTTTTGTCATGGAGACTGAAATGACAAATTTTAAGCAATAAAATTTCTTCTTCTCACCGTTGGACTCACCATGACCTAAAATGACGAGTCCTTGGCCTCGACTTCAAAAACCTAAAGTGAGAACCCTGCTAACCATTATATGTAATTAAGTTGCTGTACTGGTTAAGCCCTTAAGATGGACAGGTTTGCCCTTAATGGACATGATGGAGCCTACACCACAAATAATATGCCTAAAAGATGGAACTTGTAAGATGTTACATCCATTCAGGGGTAATACTTATGCAAGTGCTTTTTATTTACTCATACAGGTAAATCATTTTGGTGGTAGAGTTATATCCCTTAGACATTCAGATTTTTTATGGCCCCGCAACAAAGTTGTCGGGGCCATATAGTTTTACCCTTGTCCGTCATTCCGCAACAAACCATTAAACGCCTTCAGATATTGGGCTGATTTTTGGTATGTGAGTTAACCATGATGAGTTACAGATCAAGTTTAAGTTTCGTTCCGCTCTGCTAATTTTTGCCGAAATTACGGGCTTTGGACTTTGATATAGTTCAAAATCACTGTTATACACACTTTTTTTCTAAACACCTTCAGATATTGGGCTGATTTTTGGTATGTGAGTTTACCATGATAAGTTACAGATCAAGTTAAAGTTTCGTTCCGTTCTGCTAATTTTTGCCGAAATTACGGGCTTTGGACTTTGATAAATTGTTGAAAATCACAGTTATACAGACTTTTTTTCTAAACACCTTTATATATTGGGTTGATTTTTGGTATGTGAGTTAACCATGATGTGTTACAGGTCAAGTTAAAGTTTCATTGTGCTCTGCTAATTTTTGCCGTAATTATGGGTTTTGGACTTTGAAAATTGTTGAAAATCACAGTTATACGGACATTTTGTTGAAAATCACAGTTATACGGACATTTTTTCTATACGCCTTCAGATTTTGCGCTGATTTTTTATATGATGAGTTACAGATCAAGTTTGTTTCGTTCTGATATGCTGATTTTCATGTCGTTTCAACACATCTTCAGTACATCCACTACCTGTTTGCTGATAGTTTGAAATTTAACTTCTCATTGATCAAGGAAATTTTTCATCAAACTAGTATTGGTCTTGAGAGCTGGATACTATCCATGCATGTTTGTGTCCAAATGTGTTGTCGAAATTGCAGATTTAAAAACTTTTTGAGACAGGGCCATTCGTGTTGTTCCGACACATCTAGTTTACTAATACTACAAGTAAAAAAGTTATTTTCTTCTTATTATGAATTTCTCTTGACTGCATTGCTCTAATGGAGTGTTTTATTTTCTGTCATTTGTAATACATGTAGTTGTCTTTACTATTCATAACAGTATACTTTCATGGACAATGACAATGAATCTCTTTTGTCTGTTATCTTCAATATACTGCATGCTCATTTACAAGCCTCCAGGGAGAAATTTTCAAAGGCTTTGCGCAGATACTTAACATCTGTCCACAACAGATTTCTTTGTTTAGTTTTTGAGATAAAAGGTTGAACTCTTATTAAAAAATAAACCTGAAAAATTCTGTTTAAATATGTTTTGACCTCCCAAAACTTGAGAATTTAAGGCCAAGGGTTGTAAAAAAAAATAACTTGTATAAGTAAATTTTTGGAGAAGATTATGGGGAGATAATTCAAACCTTGAAAATAAAATAAAAATCTTGCAAAATTACTTATACATGTAAATATTACTTACATCTTCAAGTAAATAAATATGACATGTATAAGTATTAATACTGAAATAATAACTTTGAATGTATTGGTAAATATAATATACATGACTATTTCTTATATATGGCAAAGCAGAAGAAAATTGTTTTCATTACTTGTATATAAACGTATAACTTAGCTTTCACATCTTCAAAAAAAATTTCCAACAAAAAACATGATACATGTAGTATATAAACACAAGATGCATCTTAAGGACTGAGATGTTGAAGCATATTAAGGTAAAGTCGACTTAAAATTTCTACTTCTATTTTCCAGGAGGTCAAATGTTGGACTCCAGGTCACCATGGAGATTATCAGTCATTCCAGAATTATTTTGGTCCATAGTTAACTTCTTTGTTTTGTTGTAAGTATACAGAAATCTTGTTAACCATATTTTTTTTCATGTTTATTCATTCACCACAATAACAATAAATAGGAACAGAATTTATATTGGCGCAAATCTAACAAAAAAAGAACAGGTCAAGTAATAGTTCCTAAGTCACCTAACCTTCATTTCAATGAGTTTCTTACTTCTTTGTTTTGATTTTTTTTTCTAAATATTTATACAATTTAATTCTATTTCCAAAGATTTTAAATTTCCAGTCATTACCATGATGACAGCTCATCTGGTCCTTACAAAAAAAGTTTTGGTAATTTTCAAATATAGTAGTAAGTACAGTACACATAATGTTTTATACGTCTAAAGTCTAGAAAACCACAATCTTGTCACAAGAACTACAGAATTGACAGCAGGAGGAAATTACAGACAAGAAAAGCATGGCTTCTAAAATAAAATTTATTATACGATGCAGTCCAGTAAATCCGCCCATATAAGGCTTTGATCGTATGTATTTCTGCTTAATTATATACAAATTGTATCAAATTTATTATAAATCGATTCACTGACAAATCAACTTTGAGTAGTTGATCTCATTTCCCAAAAAATATCTGAAATAAATGTTAAAATTAACAAAACAAGTGGGTCATCCGTGTTTTTATTGGAAATGTGTTAGTCCGTTAAATCTGCCCATGCCCAGTAAATATGTATGAAGGGCCAGTTTATCACAAATTTATGAAAGGAAAAGGTGATCTATTTATTATTAGACCACTTATAAAGAGATTCCAAATAATAAAAAAAAAAATTTCAAGTCAGAAATGAGTTTTGTAAGCAATAATATGATTATCGTTAGCTTTAGGAACTGTATTATATATATCACTAGATATTTTTGTAATAAAGGATTTTTATGCCCCACCTAGGGGCATTAGGTTTTTTCGGTCTGTGCATCTGTTGGTCTATCCGTTTGTCCGTCCGTCCATCTGTCCTGCTTCATGTTAAAGTTTTTTGGTCAATGTAGTTTTTGATGAAGTTGAAGTCCAATCAACTTGAAACTTAGTACACATGTTCCCTATGATATGATCTTTCTAATTTTAATGCCAAATTAGAGTTTTGACCCCAATTTCACGGTCCATGAGAAAATGATAGTGCAAGTGGTGCATTAGTGTACTATGGACACATTCTTGTTCTTTAAAATTTGACATGCAGTGATAAGTACAGTTCCTATGAATAAAATAGCAGACGAAATATTCACAGAAGTGACAATTACAGAAGAAATTGGAGTGGGCAGGTTTACCGGACGGGCTGAATAGGTCACAGTAAGAACAAATTGATGAGGTCAACCGGTGCAACTCATTCATAAAAAAACTCGAGATTGGTGTATTACAATCACCTTGTTTTGTCTGTTTGTCCCAACAAACATTTTCATTACACTTTTCTCAGGTACTATTGAGCAGAATGACCTCATATTTGATCAGCATAAGCCAATGATGAGTTGTATTGTTTGAGCACTTTCTGTCAGTCACTGATTTCCTGTTTGCCAGTACTTGAATTTTTGTTCAATATCATTATATGATGAATGAACTTAATATTTTAGTCGCACATTTCTCCATTACTACTGAACATAGTTGGCCTCATATCTGGTCAAAAGCTTGACAGTGATCAAATGTAAGGCATAAATGCTTTTGCTGCTTTTTTCTGATCTTTCAGGCACTGTTTTCCTGTTTGTTTGTGGATAGTTTGAATTTTACTGTTTTCATCACATGTTTCTTGAGTACTACTGTACAGAGTGACTTCATATCTGGTCTGCAGCTTCTCAGTAATGAGTGGTAACTTTTAAGCTCTATTAGGAATGTGTCAGATGTTTTCTGATGCTTTGACTTACAATTGGGGGTAATCTTAGCAACACACTGCATGCAACTTCTTGTTAAAACTCTCTTTCAACAGGGATAAACAAAAATATAACTTGCAGGAAAAGTTGTGCTACTAACTTATAAGATTCCAAATTTTCATCAACTAGCTTGGCTGTCTATGGACTTGTTTGACATTGAATGAGTGTACTTAACATGCATATTATTAATCTTTATTTATTTTTATTTTTTCAGTTTTAGAACTCTCATAAATGTAAGTATAATATTTTCTATCATGAGACCTTAGTAAATGTGTTTTTATGTCTGTGTCCTACAACATATCACACTGAAATCATATTATGGAAATAACAACTCGGACCAAATTTTCAATATTATTTTTCTGTTTCAGAAACTTGTACATATGTACAATGTATAATATTTTCTATCATGAGACCTGAGTAATTATGTTTTTCCTGTCTGTTCTACAATGTATCTTATCGGGCACACTGAAGTTTGCTTGTTTTATTGAAAATGTAATGTTAAAGTACATTTTTGGATTTGCTGAATACTTCAAATTGACATGCAATAATAATCGTAGTCAGTTACTACCATTTTCATGTAGGGCGCAAATTACATTTGACAGAAAATATGGAGTTAAAGAAAAATATGATAGTATATGATGAAATTTTAAATATAAATTGGATATTTACAGCCAAGTCTTTCAAAGGAAGGAAGTACATATTCTAGAGACTACAGATCTGGGGGTGGTGGGTAAGTATATTATTATCATGTAACTCCATTGTTAAAACAGAGAAATTAAACAAAAAGTTGTCCTACTGTGTATACCAATAAGTCAGATCCAACCATGGATGGGTGATAAATTACAAAGAATAATTCATATTATTTCATGTCTTTCTGCAAAATATATTTTATATTAATCTCCACCATATAATGAGGAAACCGCTGTCATATTGTGTTTTATGTTTTGTTCAGAAAGTAAGCAACTTACGTAAAATTGAATTTTAATTGATTCAGAAATTACCAAAAAATAATACAGACTAGAAAAATCTATATTATTATACCCCCATTCTTAAAGTGGGGGCTATATTGCCATCACCTTGTTCTTCTGTCAGTTCGTCCATCAAATAATTTAGTAACACTTTTCTCACAAACTACTCAACAGAATGACTTCATATTTGGCTAGCAGCTTGCCAGTGATAAATTATAATGTGTGAGCACTTTTGGAATCTGTCTGGTAACTACTACTTGTTTGCTGATACTTTTGAGTTTTTCAATATGTTGAATATGTCATATCTCATATACTGCTTAAGAAAACAATTTCATCTTTGGTCAGCAGCACAACAGTGATGAGTTGTAATGTGTGTGTACTTTAAGGATCAGTTAGACACCGTCTTCCTTTGAATTTCGAGTGGTCATATGCTCAACCTAGCAAGCATGCATTTTGTTATACCTCAGTGATATTGGATAAATTTAAATATATTGTGATTGGTTGGGTCTATTAAATGACATGATTTTATTGCATTATTCTTCTTAAAATTGCTATACCAAGGGGAGAATTCAACCAGTCCCTTTGGAAGATAGCCTAGGATTGGTTCATCTTTTTAGGAAAATGACTCTCAAGTGATTCTTGATACTCACGTTTTTGTTGGGCCTATATATACTATTTACATACACCTCATAGTGAAAACAGTTTTTTTTTAAAGTTACATTTTCTAATTGTTTTATTGATTTATTTTTAGCGGTCCACCAGCACCACCTAGAAGAAGGATGGGAGGATTCAGAGGAGGTGGAGGTAAATTGTTTAACAAAATTATGTAAAATTAGTCATTTCCACTTTTTTCACAGAACATTCAAAAGCCCAAAAATAAGACTGAACTCAATTACTGGTATTTATATTATAAAATCAAACAATGAAAAAAATACATGCAAACAATTACAAAACTGTGATTTGGGTAATCCCATTGCTATTTAACTGGATTAACCCCTTCTGCATCTTAAGGTTTAAACTACCCTTGAAAGCATTAAAAGATATTAAATATTGAAAATACAAGGAAAGGTTAAGACAATCAAAATCAAAGACAGGTATAGAAACAAACAGAAATGAACATTGAAGTCCAAGTCTGGTTTTCATATAAATATGAAACATTGCCACCTAACAAATATAGAACAGGGACAGTGATTATTATTTTTGTTTACTATTTAAGAGTTTTGTTATCAGGCACTGCCATTGATCATTAACCTTTCAATGGATGCTCCTATGTATTGTATAAGATCCTGTATGAGGCCATTGATCATTATCCTTTCAAAGGATGCTCCTATGTATTGTATAAGATCGTATGTGAGGCCATTGCTCGTTAATCTTTCAATGAATGCTCCTATGTATTCTATGAATTGTATAAGATCGTGTGTGAGGCCATTGATCATTAACCTTTCAATGGATGCTCCTATGTATTGTATAAGATCGTGTGTGAGGCCATTGCTCATTAACCTTTCAATGGATGCTCCTATGTATTGTATTAGATCGTGTGTGAGGCCATTGATCATTAACCTTTCTATGAATGCTCCTTTGTATTGTATAAGATCGTGTGTGAGGCCATTGATCATTAACATTTCAATGGATGCTCCTATGTATTGTATAAGATCGTGTGTGAGGAAATCATTCAGAAATTTTCAACAAGTATGAAATAGACTGCTGCTGAGGAAAACAACTAAGATACAATTCTTATTTTTCAGACACAAACACTATATATTTTTGTGACGTTATTCTTTTATTATGACAAATCAATTCAAGCAGTTCATACGTTAAACAAGCAACAATCAATCAATCAGTTAATAAGTAAGCCAAGTTTTGTAAGGATTCAAGTTTGATATAACCTTATGCAGTTAACTTTGAAATAATATCTAATAAATTATATAATCAATGAGGTTTATTTTTTAGGTGCACCAAGTCCTCCACCAATGGGAGGTGGATGAGGTCGGTAAATGATCCAGATACTCTGAGGCCTCAGAAAGCCTTGTATACTGGATCCCTGTTCAGTGGTCTTTGAAGAAATAAACAAGGAATAAAGATGCCATTATGCCAACAGAACTCTTATTTATGAAGCCATTATGCCAAAATAGATCTTTTTCATGAACTTTGAAACATACATATATAAAGGGAGAATATTTGTTGCATGTTAGCAAGAATTTTTTAAAGTTTCAATGTATTTGTAATAGATATCTCCAAATTGAATTATTTATGCATGTATATATTTCAGAATTTACCATTTTTTAATTCTTAAAAAAACCTTAGGCAACAGTACCAATATATCTCAAACCCTTTGTTGTTTTTGTATTTTAACATCTCTAAATACTAAGTCTTTTTAGAAGGATGTACAAGAGACAGACATTTTTATTCTCTATGGCATCAATAAATAAACATGCACCGTGAGAAAATACTGGTTATGTGAACTTTGTAAAACGTTCTTCTGAATTTGGTATAAACATTTATATATATTTATTTTATAAATAACCATGTATTTCTAATAATAAAGGACAATTTATTACATTTATTTCACAAAGACCAGCACATTACTACTTGAATTGACTTTTGAAAAGTCGAATGACAAGTTTTCTATAAACTTCATCAGAAGTAAGGAAACTTTGAGGTATTCAGGTTTTAATGTGTTTCTGTTATAATTTGCCAAACGTTGTGATATATGTATATTGTTATGTTGAAATTTTTACATAAAATCTTTATTCTACAAAAAAAAAGTCCAGATAATCTCATATTTTTATCATCACTCTATACAGTGTAATAATTGTTTAGTTCATTTTGTATATATATCTTCATTTAAATATACAATTTGTGTAGGTGCATATTTGAACTGCATTGCCAAATGATCATGTAGAGATAAAAAAAGCTAGTCTATCAAATGTTTGCTTTCAAAAGGATTACCTGATTTGCCATTTTGTCTTTACTATGAGAATTTTAGTCAGTAAAGCCTGTTTGACTGATACAAAGTTTATTTTCTCTGCAGAAGTTTGAGGTTTACATGTTGCTAAAATTATCATTATTTATTAAGTAAAGATGCTTATCTCTTATGCATATTTAGTTAATATGTGCAATAGTTATCAGCAATTTTGCAGGTTTAATTTATGATACTGGTATTTTCTGACAGTATCATTATTCCTATTGCTGTTTTATTTCGGAGCTTGTAAAATGTATACATCTTTTTGGTTGTAATGAAATTAATTTCAAAAAACAGTTTTAGCAGTGCATTCATTATTTTGTGTCTAATATACTATTGCCAAGCAAACCACCCTTGAAAATTTTTATTTTTTAAAAGAATAACTAATTTTGTTAGAAGATCCTGAAAAAATGGATGGCATTAAAATTAAAGCTCTACAGTCATGTGACTGGTCAAATATGGAAAATTGATTGTTCTCAGTATCATGCAGTTTACATAGGATGTAGGAAAGTATTTGTATTTTTTCAAGTATAATAAATCAGGTAGGCTGTTTGCTAATCTCTATTGTATGTATTAATTATCAAAATTAAAATCTGTCATCTAGCCCAATCTTTTGATGTTTATTGTCTCATGTGCATTTAATCTAGTTTTTGTTGCTTGTATAACAACCATTAACTTTGTAATAATTTTGTGCAGACACCATTTTCTTGTTTCTTCTTCCTTGTATTTTATCATATGTAATATTGATATTTATGTAATCTTTGTCATGTGTTGAAAGTTCTGACAGTTAGGTATTATAATTGAAATGTAATTTTTTGGGATTAAGGTTTTGTATCTATGATGGTTGTCTGTACACAAAGTGTCTCATTCATGTATATTTAAATGTCTGGAATTAATTAGAATCAGACTTATGTGTATTGCAATCATACCATTATCACCTGATATATGTGGAAAAGAATGTTTTATAGCTGTAAATAAAGGGATTTTATCATGCTTTCTCTTTTAATAATATCACTCATATCCTGTGGTTGTAGATGGCATGTGATGGGAAATAGTCAATATGACAGTTTGCAAATGTGGTATTTTAAATACAGTTTCTGTGGGGTCTATGAAGGTGATAATATTTAACCTGGTGTTTAGAAACAGACCCACACAATTTTTTCTGGAACTACCTTGAATTATCATGTTATTGCAGTAAATAAACATGCTTTCAAAGTCTGCTGACTTGCTACATAACAAAACATCATCTTATGTTATCCTGTACATCACATATGAACAAACACAAAATCCTGATAAAATCAGACTACATAATTAACTGGCTGTTGATTTATATGAAAAATTTCCATTACACACTTGAAATAATCACCTTGAACTCATCTCAAATCTAATGTCTAGTTCCACTTGACAGTAATAACAGCTATCCTTGCTGATTGGAAAGAGTTTTCTAACCAAATTTCATAAGGGACCATCAAGTTATGTAATATATCACCCATACTATGGCCCTGAAGGTGCTCTCTATTCCAGTAAAAAAAAATTAAAAAGGTGATTTAAATTAACATTGGCAATGTCAATGTGAATGCTGGTTCTTCACAATTTTGAGAAAAGACTCCGCAGGAACACTTAGGATAAGTTGGATTTTATAAGTTGGAGAAAGACTTAAAATACTCTGCATTAAAAAATGATACACCTAAATTCATTGGACTATATAAATTGGTCGAAGATATTTTTTTAATAAAATCAGTGTACATTTTTATATGGATTCATGGAAGCATACTTGTAAGACAGAACTGAATAAGAGGAAGGACTACAACACAGTATAATATAACTGCCTTTGATGGTCATATCAACATATTTCTGTTAAAAAGACAGGATACTAGATCTGCATAATGGAGAAAGCCAAATAAAATTACAATGTCTTCTTCACTAGTCTATTTATGCCCCCGCCGTAGCGGTGGGGGCATTAAGTTTTACCCTTGTCTGTCTGTACGTATGAACGTACGTCCCAAAATTGGTTTCCGTTCTCTTAACTTGAGTTTGCCTCAACCAAATGTAATGAAACTTACACACAATGCTTATTACCACAAAACACAGATCAAGTTTGAATTTTGGTGGCGTCACTTTAACCGTTCTAGAGTTATGCCCCTTTATAAATGGAAAAATTGCAAAATATTTAGTTTCCGTTCTTAACTTAAGTTTGCTTCAACCAAATGTTATGAAACTTATACACAATGCTTATTACCACAAAACACAGATCAACTTAGAATTTTGGTGGCGTCACTTTAACTGTTCTAGAGTTATGTCCTTAATAAATGGAAAAATTGCAAAATTTTTATTTTCTTCTAAATATCAAGTAATTTTTAAAATTGGAGTTATCTTCCTTTGTCCATGATTATAGTTGAATCAACTACAATCAATGCTTTACACAATGCAATGTTTAATTTTGACTTCCACTGATAAAACACAGATCAAGTTGAATTTGGGCAGTGTCACTTTAACCATTATTGAGTTATGCCCTTAAAATAAATCGAAAGATTGCTAAATTTTTAGTTTCCATTCTGTAACTTAAGTTTGCCCCAACCAAACATTATGAAACCTAAACACAATATTCATTACCGAAAAACTAAGATCAAGTACAAATTTTTTGTTTCCGTTTTCTAACTTTAGTTTGCCTCAACCAAATGTTATGAAATTTATACACAATGCTTATTACTTCATAATACAGATAAAGTACGAAATTTGGTGCGACACTTTTACCATTCTTGAGATATGTCCCTTTATAAACATAAAAATTGCTGAATTTTTCGTTTCCGTTCTCTAACTTTAGTTTGTCTCAACCAAATGTTATAAAACTTATACACAAACGTTCTAGAGTTATGCGTGTTTACAAATAGAAAAATTGCTGAATTTTTAGTTTCTGTTCTCTACTTAAGTTAGCCTCAACCAAATGTTATGAGACTTACACACAATGCTTATTACCACAAAACTCAGATCAAGTTCAAATTTGGGTAGCATCACTTTTACCGTTCTTCAGTTATGTCCCTTTATAACTATATGATATGCAAGCGGGGGCATCATCTGTGTCCACATGTGGACATTATCCACATTTATTTTGACATAATTTTGTAATTATTATTTCTTGCTCAGACAATATGTGCCATTATTCATTAATAGTACATGTATATTCATCACTAGGAGTTAATTTTTTGTACAGCAATTCAATGAATGATTGGTTTTTCAATGAGAAATGAGTAGGCCCAGAAATACCCCTTTTTGGCCCCAAAATATAGCATTTTTACCAATTTGTTAAAATGTAAACTTTTAGCTATTTATTGGAAAGAAGAATACTTCTGTTCCATAAACAGGGGCTGTTTTTGACAATACAATGCACATGGATCCGGTAATAGCATCATAAATTCATGCAATATTACTGAAATCTTCACAATTTTAGCATTTGTGTTCAGTCTTAATATTTAAATATATGTTGTATTTCATGATAATACATAACATATATAAAGGTTGAGACTAAACACGAATGCGGCCACTTACATTTTAGACAAAAACTATCTGAAAAGTGACTTTTTATGGCATATTTGATAGATTTTTCATAATTAAGCTTGAATTTGAGCGTCTTTAATGACCAAATCAGTCCAAATCTTTTACATAAACTAATTGAATCGACTGAGGTAGACACTTAAGTGTTTAAAAAATGTCAAAAATCTTTCGTTAGATGTACTTCGAATAATAGGCCAAAACTAGCCCTTACCGGACCTTCTCCTTTAAATTACCTATTGAATGAACTCCACAGAAAACAATAGCTATTGTATTTATCCAACTGATTTTGGAAAAGGTTGAATGCCTTTTGCAATAATAAATATTACAAAAATGTACCTTGTACTTAGTTAAAACTTTTCATTGAAGCATATAAGGTGAGAAAACTCCATAAATTTCTTCTGATCATTTGATTTTTTGTGAAAAATTATTTTGTCTCAGATTAGCATGTAGAAATAAAATGTTTACCATTTCTGACTTAAAACAAGAGCACAATCAAATAAGTATGCCTTGTCTGAAAAATTTTAAGATATGAGATAGAAAATTGCTGTCTGCTAAAAAGTCAAGAGAAAAGATGGAAGGAATTAGACTTTATTTATTTTTAGATTGTTGATCACATGTAAGATCAAATTTCAATTCGATCCATGATATTGAGCAGTATAACATATAAATTTTCATTCATACACATGTTTTATTACAGTCACTACCATTCATTAGATCACAAAGTATGTATTCACTATGTCCTCATCTAGGAATTCTTCAGTTACCATGGTTATAAATCTGAATTTTATAATTCCTGATTGATTACAAGCTGCCTCTATTGAAATATAAATTTAACATCAATCTATTATTTCATCAGCTAAGTCTAATCTTCTGAACTTATCTAAATTATAAAAACAAGCTTTCACAGTCCTTCCTCCAAAAAATCGTCCATTTAAATCAATAACAGCTGAAAATATAAATAGTATGTGATATTAGAATACATGGACTTCATACAAAATATATAACTTGTGGTTATTAAAGTCATATGATACTTCAATTTAATAAAAAAGTGAATATGTTTTATATACTTGAATGGCTACGTTTTACTGTAAAACACATGTAGATTAACTTTCTTTTAAAACAAAATCCTTTATTTTATCAAAATCGTCAGAAAATGTACTAATATTAAATATTGTCTTCTCATCATCTAATTTGGCAACAGCTTTTCTGTATTCAGAGACAAAACCATGAAATCTCACAGGGCAAGTGTGAAGGGAAAACCAATGATTAAGAAAAAGTAAACAACTGTGGAAGTAAAATAGTATTAACAGATTCTGGAAGAAAGTTTGATACACTACATTAATTTTAAACTGTTATGTCAAAGATTAATTAACGAATGGGAACATGTGGAAACGCATGGACAATATTTAAAAAAAAACAGGAAACATCTCTTTCTCCTCATTAGCTAACTTAATATACACGTACTCCATGATTTTGTGTTGATTGTTTACCAAGATTACGATCAATAAACTTCAGCAACAAAACCCGAAAGTTAATTAGCAGCAAAAGTTTTCAATCAACAATCAAGGAATGAAATATTTTTTAGTCTATTATAAGTTATAAATTTGTTGTAAATGTAAAAAAAACGTGCATCTTGGACTAAGTTTTGTATAATTATATGCATGCATTGCTTCAATAATTTCCTGAATATTACTTTTTTTGGTTGCAGAAATAAAAAACCTTACCTTTAATTGCAGCATCAACTTTATCAAATTCTATAAATATCCTGACAGATTCCTCTTCTATAACACCTGGTATCTAAAAATACATTAAATGGTTTATCAGACATTTATAATAGTATTTCAGTGTTTACATTGAATAAAATATCTATGTGCAACAATTGAACTTAACTTTCATGAACATGTCACCAGATGCTTCAGTGGTTATGTATCCCCAATCTAATACTTACAGATTATCTATGGTTCTGAAAACAAGAGGAAATTCCTTGGCTACAATCTCATAGAAGGGTGAAAGATCATAGAAATTTTAAGAAAATAGCAATAACTGTTAATAGAACTGACTAAATAAGACCAGTCTATACACTTTAGGTCTCAATTTGCTGTGTCTTTTCAGGAAAAAAAATTCATTGGTATTCACAATACAGTGAGAACTCAAATATTGTTGGCTAGACTGGTAGATCAGCTGTCATTTAGATATGATTCTGATAGTATGCATCTGTCTGTCTGTACAACATAAGTGCTTTTAAATGAATGTAAGCATGTGTAATGTGACAACAGAAATAAAATATCTAATTCCAATGGTGCAGAATGTTCATATGAAGAATGTAAAATAAAACTATATCAAGTGTAACAGATAGAGAATCGTAACAAATTTATCAAGTGAAACTTCAATTACCTCAAATATAACACATTTAATAACTTTTCCATATTTCCCACATTCTTCTGCTGTTTCTGGTTCTAAATCCTCATCAACCTCACCAGGACCGACCATGTTCTGTAAAATAAAGAAAGATCAAAATGACAAGAGTGCACACCCTGAATGTCTGATTATGATTAAATCGTAAGAATAAAATTTTACTACAGGTAACAAAATAAACTTAACATCATCAAATGAACCATAAAAATGAGGTCAAGGTCAGTTGATCCCTGCCAGGCTGACATGTACACCTTACAATCAATCTATTCACCAAATATAGTTGACTTATTCCTTATAGTATATGAGATAAAACAGATCATGCAAACTTAACCTTGATCACTGATCAATGACATGAGGTCAAGGTCAGATGCACCCTGCCTGACAGACATGTATTGTAGTCCCTACAAAGATCCAATATATAAAACATAGTCATCCTATTACTCATAATATAAATATGAAAATCAACGTGGTATATTAATCTCTATAATTAGAATTGAGAACACTGCTTCTTACCCGTAGTAAAATAACTTTTGCTGGGTTTCTCAACAAATTTGTATTTGGTTGTAATTCTTTTGGAGGTTCTAAAAGTATAAAATATGTACATACAATAAATCATATTAAAAGACATAACTATTTTTTAATATTCAAATGACATTAAAACAAAAATATATGATTTGAGGCTATGATAGGCTATACAGTATCTGATATTTACCTTTAGGGATATATATGATTTGAGGCTATGATAGGCTATACATTATCTGATATTACCTTTAGGGATATATATGATCTGAGGCTATGATAGGCTATATATTATCTGATATTACCTTTAGGGATATATATGATCTGAGGCTATGATAGGCTACATATTATCTGATATTACCTTTAGGGATATATATGATCTGAGGCTATGATAGGCTATATATTATCTGATATTTACCTTTAGGGATATATATGATTTGAGGCTATGATAGGCTATACAGTATCTGATATTTACCTTTAGGGATATATATATGATCTGAGGCTATGATAGGCTATATATTATCTGATATTTACCTTTAGGGATATATATGATCTGAGGCTATAACAGGCTATATATTATCTGATATTTACCTTTAGGGATATATATGATTTGAGGCTATGATAGGCTATACAGTATCTGATATTTACCTTTAGGGATATATATATGATCTGAGGCTATGATAGGCTATATATTATCTGATATTTACCTTTAGGGATATCTTTTTCATGTATAATTTTTCCACCTCTTTTACTTGTCTTCTCCACAAACAGAGCTGTACTCATTCCCTGTTCAGATTTACCTAATCCTTGACCTTCTCGATAACCATATTTGGCCATAATTTTAGATGCCACTGAACCTCTGAAAAATAAACAAAAGTACATTTACGCTACATTCAATAGCAAATAGCATAATTCACTGGAAGGCCAACTAATAACAAACAGCTCAGTTTACTTCAATTAGGAAAGAGCAACTGACAGAAGTAAAATCAAGCTTAAAACTGTGCAAATGGTGGGGGAAAATGAATGTTTTCCGATGATTTTGTTGTGTATAGAAAACATAAAACAGTTGAATTTTCACAAATTTCACAAATTGTACACTTTATTTTATCATTTTTAGTTGCTCTTGAGTACCAGAATGTCCTACCACAGAGTAGATAACCTGTCCAAAAGTTATATACTTCAGAGTAATAAGTCAGTAATATGAAAATAGTCCATTAAAGCAATGAATAGAACTTTCTCTGTGGAATAATAAAGATCTAAATGTCAAGATTTAATGATAGAACCATTTTAGTTCACCATATTAAAACAAAATACAAACAGAAGTTTATGGTGATTGATACAAAGATGATGATAGTAATTGATTTAAAAAGTTTCAAGGACGGTGAAATCTATTAATTACTGCTCCTATGCATACATATTAAAAACATATCTATGATTAAGAACACCTGAATCATATTTTGATCATTTTTTCCCTGTTTTTCAATATCAAATAGTAGATGTTATTTTTTTTTTGTTTATACATGAAACATATTTGTATAAAAGTTTATCAGAGAACTTGCAATGTTCATGTCAAATTGAGTGTGAATTCATCAAATACAAGTGAGTTTTGACACAGGTATCTTTCTGTATGTTCCATTTCAATCAACATGCAGGTATAATTTGAAACTGGCAAATTAAGTTAGTAATAATTTCCTCTAAACCCATACTCTATTGAAGACAGGTTTGTGACTTGTTCTGGAGCTTAACACTTACCCTAAGCCCATACTCTGACCAAGAAGTGTTGGGGACTGAGGCCTGCCTGGTGCTAAAATGAAAATAAATTATGTACTTAACCCATTTCTTCCAGTTATATTCCATAAAACGAGAGAAATTAATGATGAACATTTCCAAGACTTTTTAACTAAAAGTATGCAGTTTCATATTCTATCACATTTACTTCAGGAAAAATAAATAAAATTTGACTTTTTCTGCTAGAATTCTTTCGATATTGCTTTTTATACATTTTAAATTCTACGAAGTAATAGAAAAAGAATTTTTACGAGGCTTGAGGAAATTAAGAAGCTTACAATCAATAGGGATGTCTTCGATCAGTGAGGATGGCGGTGCTATAGCTGCTCCCATACCTCCTGTAAATAAACAATTCTAAATTATATTGTCCATGCAGAATAACAATATCAAAAGGCTGTAATATATTATCAACATACAAGTGCATTAACTGAATTATAAATGACATTTACAATGGTAAAATACATTTTTAATACTATCATGACTGTCACCGATTTCTCATTATCTCCAGTCATATCATTTTCAGTGTTTTTAAAACTATTACATGAATGTTGATTGCAAAGCAAACTATCAAACATCTCTTTAAGTTATTGTTTAAATTTGTGAAACAATGGTTTTAGTCCTTAAAATTAGATTTTCTTTGTTTTTCAGTAGAAGTAGTATAGTAACAGCTTTCGACAACAATTGTGGGAGTGCATAAAATTTACATGCATGCATTTTTATTTGGCCAAATATTCCTCAACAATGATTTATTTACCAGAAGGTCTCTTTGGTTTCTCATAATCTTCCTCCTCTTCTTCATGTCTGCGTCTTAATCTGTCCATCTCTCCACCTCCTCTATCATCACTACGATCTCGATCTCTGTTTCTGTCACGATTGTGGTCTCTCCTTCTCCTACTAAATAAACATGTAAATTAGGAGCTATATAATTGTTCTTGAAATATTGCAATAGAACATGGCCAGCACGTGATTGACGTCACAATTGAAATTGCAACATCAGTTGAATTTTGATCAATGCCAGAGAACAAAATGGACATTTGTGTTGGTGTTGCTAAATAGGAAATTAAATAATATCATTACAAAAGTAAGTTTGAATGTATCTGTTCATTTTTTATCGTGAACGGTTGATTTTCTATATCATTTTTGCCTTCACAAAATCAAAATTGCTGCGTTTAGAACGTGTATTGTAGGCCCGCTTCGAAGTACAAAAGTTCAAAATTTCCCTATTAGAATCGAAATAATTCTATCATGCCATGCTCTATGCTTATTTTAACATGGGTAGGCATTATATTTGTCAACATTTTACACCTCGCTTTTGCTCGGTATAAAGATATTGACAAATAGAATGCCTACCCATGTTAAAATGAGCACAGAGCATCGCATGAAAGAATTATTTCTTAATTTTACACTTGAGACATGACAATTAATTAGTATATTTTTATTACTTTTGTCTGGGATCATGGCCTGGACTTTCTTCTCCATGATTCCAGCTTTTGTTGTATCTATGTCTTTGAGGAGTGTCATCATCATTTCCAGACCTTTATAATAATTAGTATATATTCAATTCAATGGCAATGCATATTATTTTCATAAAAATGTTTAATTTCTGCACTCCCAACATTATATATGTGTAAAATGTGTACAATTGCCTATTAAAGATTTCAGTGTGATTTCTACAGGGAAAGTGTCAAAAATTGTTAGAGCCTTAATTATCTTATTGACTTAAGTGGGGAAATTATATTTGATTATATACCAGGCCTAAATCTATGTTAATTTCTTTTGATCCAGGTCTAAAATTTATTTTAATTTCTTTTGATCCAGGCCTAGAATCTTTTTTAATTTCTTTTGATCCAGGCCTAGAATCTAGTTATTTTCCACATAACACTTCTTTAATTAGTATATATATTACTTTTGTCTGGGATCATGGCCTGGACTTTCTTCTCCATGATTCCAGCTTTTGTTGTATCTATGTCTTTGAGGAGTGTCATCATCATTTCCAGACCTTTATGATAATTAGTATATATTGAAGACAAACAAAATGCATATTATTTTCTTAACCAGAATTGTGTAATGTTCTGAATTCTGATTAACATCATCCCCTTCATGTGAATGATAAGCCTTATCTTGAATTTACTTGATGATATGAGTGATGCACTCACAAATAAAGACCTTTCATTGATTTCCAAGCTAAGGGTCAGCAAAAAAGCCCTACATTTGTTTATTTTCTAAGCAATGCTTGATATCTTGTGAGCTGTCATTTTTAATACATTGTAATAACCAAACACCTGTTAATTAAAATTTGACGCTTAAAAAATTCTATGGCGTTCAGTAAAGAAATTGACATTGCTTTAATAGAATAGACGCAGATTGCAAAGACAATATCAGTATGAGCTATGACATAAACAGTAATGTGAATTTAACCGGTCGCTCACAACAGAAGCAGAATACTACGAGACTATACAGAAGTATATCACTTTGGTTAATCTGTATACCTGTATTTGAATAGTTTAATTTTAAAACGGATTGGTGGTTCTTCAAATGGCAACTTTTATCATATAAAGGTAGTGACAGTTGAATGAGTGATTTATCTTGTCTAAGCACGGCTCTCATAACATTAGTTTGGCCTTATTGTCAGTCTTGTTCTTTGTGATAACAGGACTTATTGAAAATGTTTTATATAAACTAAGAAAATTTAAATCATCTTTTAAAAATTGATGACTTTTGCCACACAGCACTTCTAAGAAATTGATATCCACTCCCACTAGGAGACTGACATCATTAAATTATATATTACTTCTGTCTCGGATCATAAACTGAATTATCTTCCCCATTTTTCCAGTTTTTGTTGTGTCTCGGTCGCTGAGTAGGTTCATCATCCTTTCCAAGCCTTCATTATTACAAGCATAAATTTATTCATTCCATTTTATTAAACATTCAAGTCATAAAATAAAAAATTTCAATTTCAATTTAATGAGATCTTTCTGTAATAAGCAATTTGTGTGTTTTTGTATTTTTTTTTTTTTATAAATTTATTAATTTTTTAAATTTTCATTGTGACTGTTAACAATGTCCTGAAAAGATAATTTCTGATTTATGGAAAATATATGCGGTCTTGGTCACACGCTCCTTAGATCATTGATGAAGACCTTGAGCAACTATTCAGGATGAAGGACTGCAATAAAAGTTGTTCCTTTAATGTATGATTATTTTCAAAAACTAGAACTTTGTATCCTTCATACATCCATCCCATATTCCTCCACAACAAATAATACTTTTATTCAATCAGAGACTGAAACAATTCTCCTATTAATAAATTTGTTTACTTTTGTCTTTGGTCTGGACTATCTCTATGGTTACGATTCCAGTTGTCTTCTGATCTTCGTCTAGGTTCTGGTTCATCTGAATCACCATACCTTCTATCATCATCAAAGTTTTTATGCTTTTCTTCTTCTCTCTCCTTTAGTCTTTGTTCCTTTCGTTTCTTTGTGAAGTCCTCATAATCATTAGGACGTAAAGGGTCATATTCATCGATGACACCTGTTAATGAAGACTGAGGATCAGATGGAAGAAACGGAGAGCCACCTGTTGTACTTTCTGACAATCTTTCTAACTGAAAAATACAAATTATGATGGGTTTACATACACTTATATTGAAAGACAAATATAATCTTGGTAGACTGAACATTTACTTTAATACAATGTATAGGTATATTCCAAACTTAAGAGACACTTTTCTGTTCATATAAAACGATCAACCAAGGTTTTTTTTGTCTTACAAAGACATTTAGAAGAATATCAATGATATAGACTTTTATGCCATGGAATAAAAATTTTAAACAGGAAATCTCAAAAATATAACAGATGATGTAAAAATATATATTTGCATTAAATTTTAAGACATTTGATCCTGGGGTAAAATGTGGTTCAAATATTCACACATTTATTTTGGTATTCATAATTTGGGTAAAACAATACACTTGTGGGGTCAATTTTTCAGAAATAGGGAACAGCTGATCTTAAAATGACTGCTAATAATTCAAAATTTCAAATAAGTTTTGAACTATTTGAGCATTCCAACTAAAGTTGCAATAGAGAATAAATAGATGTGTTGTATTATTGAGGTCTTGCAGAATATAAAGTGCTTCAATTTTTGTTTTAATTCATGACTTAAGCATTAACAAATTACAAATGTAGTGTTAATATATTAATAATATAATGCAACAAACAAAATCATGTTGTACCTTTAGCAATAATAAAACATTTTGACCTTTTCATGTATTAATTCATTTCATATCAGAGCAATTCAAATAAAATAATAATACATGTCTAGTGAGAAAAAAAATCTGTAAATCCAAAACAAAGAAAAATAATTTCAAAATGTTTTACATAGATATAGGAAGATGTGGTATGAGTGCCAATGAGACAACTCTCCATCCAAGCTACAACTTATAAAAGTAAACCATTATAGGTCAAGGTACGGCCTTCAACACGGAGCATTGGCTCACACTGAACAGCAAGCTATAAAGGGCCCCAAAAAATTACTAGTGTAAAACCATTCAAACGGAAAAACCAACGGTCTTATCTATATAAAAACGAGAAACGAGAAACACGTATGAACTACATAAACAGACTTCTAAAACAAACAACCCAATATCTTATCTCCACCTTACTGACATTTTAATCAATCAGTTTATTAACTGAATAGAGGCAAAACATATTCCTTTTAAGTGTCTTGTTCTATCATTTTTCTATTCAACTATGCAACTTCAATCGAAGTTTAAACATATTGAATTTTTAGGGAAAAAAGATCAGCAGGGGCCCAAAAGCCCAGGCTACTAAATTTTTGGCTGGACCCCTAAAATTTTGGCTGCAGTGATTATATTAATCTTAGATATGAAGCAGGTTGGACCCTAGATGGAAAGTCTTATCCCTATTATTCGGTCCATTAACATTTTTAAAAGTGAAATGTTTTAACTTGGAAATTAAAAATTCACAAAGGACTGAAAAGTCTTAGTCCTTTGCGACTTTAACAATATATAAATGTAAATTTAAGTTTACAATATGGCACTTTTAAGGGATGAGTTAATTTTTACCAGGTATGTGCCTTCAACCCTGAGCTAACTTTTACTAGGTTTGTACCTTAAACCCAAACTAAGTCTTATTAGGTTTATGCCTTAAACCCTTAGCTAACTTTTACTAGGTTTGTGCCTTTAACCCTAAGCTATTAAACTTTTAATAGGTTTGTGCCTTCAACCCTAAATTATTAAACTTTTAATAGGTTTGTGCCTTCAACCCTAAGCTATTAAACTTTTAATAGGTTTGTGCCTTCAACCCTAAGCTAACTTTTACTACATTTGTACCTAAAACCCTAAGCTAACTTTTACTAGGTTTGTGCCTTAAACATGTTAAACTTACTCTGCCTGTTAACATATTGAAATGCAGATCACTGTATAAGTCATTCTTCTTCAAATCTATCACAGGTGCCATTGTATTGCTGCTCGGTTTCTGTTTCTGAAATCATATTTCATTTCAATACTTTTAAATGAATTCTCAAGTTTCAATTTTGTACCTGCTTGGTAATTTTCAAGTCATAATTGATTACTTGCAGTATTTGACAGTATTTCCATGGGAAAGATCACTTAGCTTTGTTTTAGTCCTTATTTCAAAAATAAGTTGATAAATTGTTAGCTTCCAAAAGAAGCTTATTCTAAGGTATGGGTTCCTCGTTGTTGAAAGCCATAAGAGGTACCTACAGTTGCATAAATCTACGACAATCTACATGATTTGGTCTCTGGTGGATAGCTCTCATTGGCAATCATATCACATCTTCTTATTTTCATATAAATGGTAGAAAGGACAATTTTGGTCTATGAACTATGGCCCTGATTGGTGGTTTTCTGTGGCTTCCTTCGCCAATAAAAACTGGCTATCATGATATAGCAAAGGTAAACACCAACAAACAAACCTGGCATGTCATTGAGATATGTTTAAATAAACAATCTGATTAGTCTCAAAAATTTCACAAAAAACAAGGAAAACACTTTTTTTATATTGCAATACCTTTGATTCTCATAATAAATGTTAATGCTTTATACACATACATGCACATTTGTAGTTCACAATATTTTTGTATTGTAAGTCAATGAAGACTTCAATAATTTTCCTTGTCAGCAGTAACACAAGTAAATGTCAAGTAAGTGTATTGTACATGTTGTAAGAGGTCTATCTACTAATGACTATTGCCACATTTGTTTATGTACATACCTTAACCTGCATTAAATTAGCTTTCTTTGCCTGTAACTGCGACTGCATTAACTTTAAACTTGATGACCATCCAGCTAAAATGGAAATCAAATCAAAGTTGTTCATTTTTCAGTATTTACATAATATTCAATTCAGAATTACATATACACATCTAATTTCCATGCAGTTAGGAAAAAGACATATAACAAAAATCCATGAATACGTATTTAAAGTGCTGATCTTTCTTGTGAGTCAACTGTCAAACTTCTTGGCATTGACATTGATTACCAGCTAAATTTTGATACTCATATTAGTAAAATATGCAGGAAGGCATCTCAGCAACTTAATATTTTGAAACGTTTGGGAACTTATTTGAACAAGCTAAGTAAGCTAACTATATTCCATACATATATATTTTTTGAGCAATTTCATGGCATTTTTGTACTGAGAAAAATTCAAAAAAATTAGAAAAAGTGCAAGAAAGAGCACTAAGGTAACTTAGGTTTGTTTATGAAGATCATTCAAGCTCATACCAACTGTTCTTGGAAAGATGCCTTCACTGCATATTAAAAGACAAAGATCCATGGTAATTGAAACTTTTAATTTAGTTAATAAATTAGCACATGTCTGTTTACATGATCTATTAAAAGTTATTTTTTAGTTCTAGCTCTAAATGTTTGCATTATGCCTTAAATTTTGCTGGTGTGCTATATTTTTTATTTGTGCTTAAAATAATGTTTGCTTCATTTTTAGTTGTGCTTCAATTTTAGTTATGCTTCAGTTTTGGCATGTTTAGATGTGTAGTTTAGTAGTGCCTTGCATGTATTTTAATATGCCTGTGCTGTATCTATGCATTGAAATATATGCTGCTTAAATATCTTATCTGCATGTTCTGTGTTTCAATGTTATGTATATGTTATTTATATTTCGGTAAAAAGCTCTCAAGAGCTTACGTTTGTATTGCTATATGTGAACGGAATCAAAATTAAACTTTCGTATTCATATTTGAATTGGTTGCTTTATCTTTTCAAATGTGAATTTGACTGATTTATCCTAAAATGTATACAACAATCAAGAATATCTTCTCAAATTCCACCCCTTTCTACTAATTACAGGCAGACATTACATATATGGATTCTTACAGTAAATGTCTTTTCAATGTATGTACATACCCACATCTGTTTTAGATGTTCCATCATCTTTGTCATCCAAACCATCGTACAACGACATATTTACCTGAAAAAACACCAGAACTTCTTGTATTAAACTCACGTTTAACAATTGTATTTCATTTTCAACATGTTCAATATTGTTAATATAAGAATTGAATACTACTTTTTTTTAATTTATTGGAAATAAAAGCAAGTGACTAATATTGTTTTGAGCTAGAAGCCCTTCATGCAAAATGTGATCATCACTTGTTTTCTTTTTCAAATAAATAATAAAAAAAACAGTATGCAATTCAATAATAGATTGATTGATGGCTGCTTTATGTCCAGCGTCAAATATCATATGCATATTCTGGACATTAACTTGTAATTAATATGGTCATAAGATTGTACCCGGGTATGAACTAGATCATTATGCTGAGTCTTCTTCTACTTCAAAGTAAGAAACCAAATCAAAAACTTTAATGCATGTTGTCCCATGAAAGTTTAGTGTAGTATTGGGCAAGCCTCAACATAGCAATTCTCTTTAAATACAAGCTAAAAACAATCTCCAATTTACAATCAAATTATGTGCAAGCTGTGTTATCTTCTTCCTTTCAGAGCATGCCTTCAAAGCAGGTGCTGGTTTGAATAAATTCCAATGTCTAACATGTATTTCTTTTGCTGACAAAGTTGTCAATATGTCTATTCCAGGATAAGTTGTTGCTGATGGTTACACCTAGGAATTTGCTGGCTTCAACAGTGTCTAGTGTATGTCCATAAAGTTTGTAATACTAATAAAATAAGGAGATGTGGTATAATTTCCAATGAGACAACTATCCATCATAGTCCAAATGAAGAGGATTTAAGCAGACTTCTCAGTTTTCTGTACTATATATTCATACATTGTATTACTACACATTTTTTGGCATTGAGGAGCATTTGCCATGTGTATTTCCAATCTACCAGTGATGTTAGTTCTCTAAGTAATAGGTTACCGTCTGACAGATGGATGAAAATAATTTGGTCTCTGATGAAGTTGCAGTTTATGGGATGTCGTAAATGTAGGACGAAATTAAGCCATAGAACTCTGCCTTAGATTACACCAGACCGTATAAAAAAACTTGAGTAGAGACAACTCAATTTTTTAATGTGCTTTCTTAAAGGTAATGTTCTGCACGAAGATCTGTTACCTTTACCTATTCAGATGAACTGGCACTGTTGTCTTTTGTCAGTGTAGAGATTCTAGTTGAATCCTTAAGAATCTTCACAATATGTTTATCCTCAGAAACAATTAAAAACAGTGCACTTATAAAATCAGTTATAGATAAAACTATCAATCAAATACTCTGTACACTGTATATAACCCACCAACACTATATCTACAAAATTACAGTTTCCATTTTTGATGGGACTGCAAATAAATGTCATCACATGTTACCATACCGACACATTAGTCTGATTATGAGCCAACCAGTCTGTGTATCTACTACCAATTTTACAGTCATTGATTTGACTGATTCAGGATTAGAACAAATCTGGATCCATTCGCCCCAATACATTTTAACAATTTCTTGTGTTTTTCTCATTTATATCACCCCGATATATATAAATTCAATTTTGTCATTACGGATTGGTTGTGATTCCTCAATAATTCTAAACAGTTAATTTCGACAGTATAGTGATAATGATAAATAAATTCATAATTACCACAAATTTTCCCTTTCATGTTTTACAATTCGTTCATCATTGCACGAAGGAGAAAATCTGCACATTTGAGACAATTTGTGCCAACACTGGGCAACAGGCCTTATGGCTTAAGATTGAAGATTTTATGCGCTTAAAGATCATCATTATACACCGATTTGAAGTTTAGATTATTGGAGGAGTATGTATTACAAATGCATATGGAATAGGAGTGTGAAGTGTATTTGTATTTTAATAAATAAGGCATGTGTGCCTTTCCGCAAACAACCCCCCTATTTTTAAAATTACCTTGATATTTTTGCCAATTTATTTCACATTTGGCTTAAAGTTTACCATACGCATCAAATTATAAACCTTATAATAGTTTATGCAATTATCTTTCCATCAAAGGCTATCGTCTTAAATAATTGTTTAAAAAATGAAAACACACAAATTAATTTAGGACTCACAGACAGAGAATACTTTGTAAAAATATACCACAAACGGATCACCCATGAGCAAATTCCGGATGAAATAAACGAGTTTATAATAATTATTGTCATTTTATGTACACACCAAAGTTTGTCTTTACTTTTCATATTTTAAAGCTTTTGCACGTTCTATGGCAATTCAATCTTTATTTGAAAGCGTACAACAGAGGCATGATCCACTATTACATTACACAAATAAACTGACATAAATTGTATACATGTACTGTTTACTGAAATATATATATGGTATCAGTATGAAATAACAATTTTAACTGGTATATCTTTCAGACACACCGCGTACATTAGCATAGAATCTATGGAGAATACAGGCGCTTAGGGGTGGAGGGAGGGGGTTGAGGTGACATGGACCCTTTTTAAGTTTTAAGTTATATATATTTAACGTTTTTTTCTATGATGCCATTGCACTAGCAGCCAACTTATTTTCACTCTTTTCACGTTTTCTTGTTCTAATCCATACGATTTGAAATAACAGTATTTTTCAAGTGATATCCTCTACTGTAATATTTAACTCACTTAAAAAAGAAGAAAAAAGGGGGGGGGGGGGTCCATGCCCCAAGCAACTGCATGTGATCAAGAATTTATTTTTGGTAAAACAGTATGGTTGTCCAATAATTCAAGAGCTTCCTTTATATAAACAATGTATACACATTGATTTTAGATATTTTTCAGATCTTGGGTTTGTCATTTTGAAAACTAGTAGTGACAAGAATAATCAGAACCAAACCATGTCCGAGAGACAACAAAATAACATATATACTAACAACAAATACTAATCTTCCGCAATACAACCTTCAAATAAGTTGCCTTGGAGTGCTATGTATCAACAGATTTGATTGATTGATTTTTGGTGTTTTAACGCCACTTTAAGTTAAGCACCGCTTTTGGGCTATTTCGTGGCGGCCAGTTTTTATTGGTGGAGGAAGCCGGAGTGCCCGGAGAAAACCACCGACCTTCGATAGGAAAACTGACAATCCTAGTCAATTAAGATTGGAGTCGAGTGCACCCGCACGAGCGGGGTTCGAACTCACAACCTCAGTGTTGACTGGCTAGTGATTACAGTAGTAACTACTTAGACCACTCGGCCACCGAGGCCCCTGTATCAACAGAAACAATATAACAATTTACAATGAAATCGTGTGAAATGCGGATGTGTATACTAATTTAATATATGTGTGTAAATGACGTGAATTTAAGTAACTATACCGTATATAGTCGGAAATAAAGGGCCACGACATGACAAAATGTGAAACAATTAGTGCATCCTTAATGAAGAATTTCCGTTCATGATTGATTTCCAAGGCTTTCATCTAAACATATATTGAAAAAACCTTCCAGTTCCGAAGAGATGATACATCTGTCTCACTGAAAATTTAAATTAGTCACTATGACTATTCAGTTAGTCAAATATTAGCCGAAAGGTAGTCAACAGCATATGTGACTACTAATCTAGTCATTGTGACTACCTGCACGGTCAATTTGACTATGTTAGTGGTCACAGCACCACGTGGTGTAGAGTATCGGTTTTCACGCGCACTCTTTCGCGTTCCCTTTGTTCCCTAGATCGTGTAGATGTAAACAAACCAGGAGGCACGAAACTGTTATTTTGTCAATTAAACCAATTGTTTAAAGTAAGTATCATGTATATATGTTTTAATTCTAACTTACAAAAATTAAATTTAAGAAAAAGAAGTGGAACGAATGTAATATCGGCACATGTTGACATAATGACAATAAAAAAGGGGGAGATATGTATACGGGACTCAATTTTGATACACATTCAACGTATTGTCGATTGAAAAGGGTATTTAGCGATATCTTTTTTTCATCTGACCAAAAACTGTTAAAAATAAACACTGCAATCGATATTCACAACAATAAATTAAAAAAAAAAACCTATGGGGGGCTGTCAAGATCCTGGTGCTTACATTACAATGATGTGATATAGGATGGGTGGCTGTCAAGATCCTGGTGCTTACATTACAATGTTGTGTAATAAGATGGGTGGCTGTCAAGATCCTGGTGCTTACATCACAATGTTGTGGTATAAGATGGGTGGCTGTCAAGATCCCGGTGCTTACATTACAATGTTGTGGTATAAGATGGGTGGCTGTCAAGATCCTGGTGCTTACATTACAATGTTGTGGTATAAGATGGGTGGCTGTCAAGATCCTGGTGCTTACATTACAATGTTGTGATATAGGATGGGTGGCTGTCAAGATCCCGGTGCTTACATTACAAAATAATGGTATAAGATGAGTGACTACATCACTAGATAAAAGATTTTAAAATTTGTATTTTTCTTTTAACTTTTAACATGACTGATATACTTGTTTATTGTTATATTTTAGCTTCTAAAATGATATAATTATATTTTTCAGCAAATGAAGACATTGCTATTTGTATGAGCACAGCTGAGAGATTTATGACCAGAGAGAATATTACACTGACACATGCAGAGTTGATACCGACAAAATATCTTAAATAAACACTTCAAATTTTGACATACTGAAAATGTATAAAATATATATTTAAGTTGGGATATCATAATGTATGTAACAATGAGTTTATAATAAATACATTTTCTTTATTTGATTTTTAGACTTTTAATATATGTCACTGAGTAATGGTAACACATGGAAACTTAAGATATAGGAAGGTTTTGAACATTGAGCACTTTGTGGTCCTATACTGTTGTCATTGTTAGTATTGCTGCTGCGGTATTTTTATGATATTATATTCCAGATGCATTTGTCAATCCTATGGAAGAGAAACAACATACAGCAGAATAACAGAAGAAATGAATCACAAAAGTACAGAACGGATAGAAACACACACAAAGTAAAATGGTAGAACAAAAAACACAACACAAATTAAAATAACAGTCTAACAGTCGTGACTATTCACAGTAATCATGTCGACTAACCAACATGGTCACCTTCGACCATTTCAATAAGTCATATGGACTGCATTCAATTGTCAAACTGACAAATGTGCATAGTCAATTGAACCATCCAATTCGTCATAACGAGTATAACATATAGTCATTTTGACTCCCTAACATAGTCATAATTACCATCCTACTCAGTCAAATGTGACTAACCATCTAGTCAAACGACTAAGAGCATAGTCAAAATGATTAAAGTGCATTGTCATCTAGAGGACAGTCAAAATGACCAATTAAATTGGTCAAATTGACTAATTTAGGTTTTCAGTGCTTGTCTGTTTAAACAGTAGTTTACTTAACTTTAAACCCGTTTAGGTATGCATGGATGTCTTATGATTTTTTTTTGTGTCAGGCAATGAATTGCTGTTTTACTGACATATGGCCCACATTCCCGTGCATTCATATATACACTCTCTCGTTACCATTTTTTTCACGATTTATTCATCCAAGCTTACTTTTACTAAATCCAAGGTTTAGAATGACCGTAGTCCTTTTTGGAGTGATGCATGCACTGTCGATCGGAGTTTACGAGATTCCCTAAAAAAATGTTTTCCTTCGATTTGTATGTTCTAAATGGATTTATGAAATTTCAACATCTGTCTCTGATTTTGGACCTTGATTTTCGGGCAATTCTAACAGATAACTTACGACAAACGGTACTTTTTTGTCATTACGGACTTGTGTTATCTAGGAATTTCCATATTTGCAAACACGGTAGTAATTTACATTGAGGTGAAAGAGGCAGCCTCCTTAAAAAAATAAACTAGAGGCTCTAAAGAGCCTGTGTCGATCACCTAGGTTTATGTGCATCTTTAACGATGGACACTTTCCAACATTGTAGACTAGAATAGAATTCATGAACAAAATCTCTTTTTTGTTCATCTTTTTTTCAGTGTCTCTATCTTCTTTAGTTTTGCCCCCCCCCCCCCCCCCCCCCCCCCCAAAATGGAAAACAATTGTCTTTTAAGGGCAACCACTCATGTAAAGAGTCTACTAACTATTTTGGCAAAATTCGACATTTTTGTAGATCTTGTCTCAATTCCTGATCATTTTTGCTATTTAAAGTGTCCATCTATCTTTTATAGTTTTCAAGATAATAGGCAAAAACGCAAGAAATTGGTAAACATCGTCATCAAAGAGCAAGAACTCAAATAATGAGTCGAATGAAGATTTAGGCCATTACATTTATTTGTAGATCTTGTCTTGTTGATTATTTTTTGCTATTTAAGGTTTTTATATATCTATTATAGCTTTTAAGATATAAGGCAAAACGCAAACTATTGGAAAAATCGTCATTGACAATAACTCCAATAAAGATTTCGGCCTTGATGACTTATTCGTAGATCTTGTCTTGATGATCATTTTTGCTTTTAAAGTTTCTCTCTATCTGTTATAGTTTTCAAGATAATGAACAAAAATTGTAAAGGGCCATAATTAACTCCCATAAGAAGTCGTCTGACAGTTTTAGTATACATTTTGTAAATAGACGGTAGGTAGATATCAACATTCTGGACATTTGTGACCTGTCAGATTTTCTCGCTTAATATCAGTTTTCAAGATGATAGACAAAACTCGCATTTTTACCCCAATGTTCTATTTTTAGCCATGCTGACCATTTTCGTTAGCAGGCGGGGTCATCGTATACATGTTTAAATCAAATACCCCAATGATGATTGTGGTCAAGTTTGGTTATATTTGACGCAGTAGTTTCAGTGGAGAATATTTTTATAAAAGTTAACGGACGACGGACGACGATGAACAACGGACGCCAAGTGATGAGAAAAGCGCACTTGGCTCTTTTGGCCAGACGAGCTAAAAACAGAATTAATGCTGTTAAAAATACCCTTTTTTATTTTCAGGTATCTGTATAGGTACCGTGCAGGATCCATAGGGCTTTGAAAAGCCATAATGTAATGGGACGGAGAACGCAAGTAGTGACCGTTGCTGCTGGTAAATGACGCTTTGGATCCTTCAGATGTGTTTGCTGTGATGATGTTGTCTCCTTAGATGTCCCAGTCTACAACTGTTT